AGTATTTTTCCGAAACGCGGGGCCCCTGGTGAATGGGGGCCCCAAAGCAACTACTTGTTTTGCTTGTAGGTAAATCCAGCCCTGAAGTGAGGCCACCGCTGCACAGACGGCTAGTAATCCTCCATTAATATATATATATATATATATATATATATATATATATATATATATAAATGGTATCGTCATTATATGTCATGTCTCGTCGCATACAGTTCACAGGAGAACGGCTAGGTAGCATCTCCGCGTACGCGCCTCCTACTACGCGCTCGTGTGTCACTACCCAGAGGCCTGAATTGGGAAGGAATTAGGGTAGGGATAGAGTTTAGGACACTGCACATTGGTTGGACTAGCCCTTGTGAGGCAGCCAAACTCGTTTTGTTGGAACAAACTTCACACGAGATTGTCCGGGAATCGAACCCGGACCTCCTTGCTGAAAGCCAAGCGACTTCGCTCCTGAGCAAAGATGATTTTTTTTTTAATTAAAAAAAAAATCGTTACCGACTTTCTTGTTGTAACGAATAAAATGTTTTTTATTACCTGTTTTTTACACAAGTGTCAAAAAATATCTTTCTCGTGTTATGATCCAACAACCAGGAACGAATTGATGAAGCTTTCGAAGATTTGTATTTTGGCAATGGTCCTCCTCACACTATGGTTTGTAGCTGAGGCAACGCAGGAATCGAACCACACACCCAGAAAAGAAAACTCAAAAAGATCCTTTTTCCTTTCTAGGGGTTCAAGACGGGTCGTTTTTTGTAAACTTCGCCTTTCCGACAGGGGGCTTTTGCATGACCTGTGACTTGCGACTTTCCTCGCCTGGATTGCGTAGACGCCGTGCAGCGGCGATAAGCTTCAACCTGTCTACAGCGCATCTTTTGAAAGTGCTTTATTTTTCTATTCGTTACAGCAAGAAACGATGTAGATGGGGAAAATGCCGCTCACTTTCATTAAAAGTACTTTTGATGGCTAGGCCCTGAAATTGTCTGGAAATAGTATGTACGGAAATGGAACTTTTAGAAAGTTTGAAACTTGTGTACGCAGTGAGATGATGATTGAAAGTGTCCGATTGAAGAGTTGAGAAGACCTCAACTTCTACTTGATGAATAAATATTCAAAATGCACATAATGTATTTATTTATTTGCGTCAAAACAGTTAAAAACTATGTGCTATGAGGAGACGTTAATATCAAGTTACACGAAATAAAATGCGTTTAAGAAACCATGCCCTTCTCCAATCCCATTTACTGCGCACGAATCTTTGGTATTTATGGTAGAAAACAATATTGCGGCAAATTAATATTAGATCGGAAACAGATGTAATTCCTACCATATACGAGTAATAAGAATGTGGCAGATGATGAATGATGAATTCAACAGGATAAGGAAATTATGAGATTTCATGAAACGGTCCTTCTTGTGTCCAATTTAAAAAAAGGTGCCTCGAGTTCAAATAATCATGGAAACACTGCAAGCCGATTTTTCGAATGCGCTAAAAAGTGAACAAATGTTACAGGTAATAACGAAGTTATCATTCACCGTTTCTCAACAACACCGTTCATAATCTATTTCGATTGCGCAATATATTGAAGCATTCAGTGATTGCATCTTAAGAACTGCAAAAATACAGCCTTTTACTTATTATATCCTTTTCTCCTTTCATTAAGTGTTCATTCATTGCGAAAAATTTTTGAACACGCAATACTTACAATTTTACAAGTATCCTATGACGTCTAGAAAGAAAGACAAATATTTGAGAAGATACAGATAGGCGTACTGGGAAATGTTCTGGAAGAGATTACTAAACAGACACGCATATTCTCCTTGGAATTTATGAATAACTGCTTCACAGGCCGAAAACAAGGCGCAAAAGAGAATACAATATTCTTCATCAGTGTTAAGATTATTTAAGAAGCCATATTTACACAAACCTAAGAGTAAGTATCCAACTATTATTCGGAATGAGTGCATCAGTCTCAGAGGATTCTGACTGAACAATTAAAAAAAAATAACCATTGAGATATTGTGAATTGTAGAATACGACTACTAAAGATAACGAAGAGTAATTTATTTTCCTTAATTGACAATTTAGTTTCTGGGAGTACATTTTTTTCGTTCGGTGTGTGTTTTTTTCAATCTTCATAAAACATTATTCATTAATAATTAACATAAACGGATATTAATGTAGTATATTTATTACGAATCTTTTTTCAATCCTAACGTTCCATTCTCTTCCACTAAAACATTTTTATACCAAAGGTTTAAGGCCAGTTCCGTCTGGTTTCGCCATTTAGCCCGCTGTTCACATCATTATAAACAATTTTATTGATGGCTAACATATGCATCAGGCATCGTTGATATATTTACTAAAATAATTACTAAAAAAAAATATGTAGAACGTGAGTACACTGAGTTCATTTGCAGAAAGCTGTTTTCGTTCAAACATTTGAATTAAAAACAACTAGTGGCGCTACAGAATGGTGCACACTTTCTCTTATTCGTTCTCTATTATCTTTGGTCTCGGCTAGCTATTCGGACTTGCCACATCCTCTTACAAGCTGCCATCTGTCGCCGCCCAAATACATTTTTTTAAATTATCTCAATTTCTCGGTTTCCTAACAGTAAAACAAAAATATTACTTCAAGAATATCAAAGAAGAGTAAAACCTCCTTTTTCCATTTCATTAAAAAAATTGGAGCTGTTTTTAAGAAAATAGTGTTTAGGCATGACAGTAAATGCGAAATTTGAAGCTCTTGTTCACAGAACATTTTTGAAATACTCGAAAAATTTTATTAGAAGTCATTTGAAGCACTTTTACACACAAATGCAATAGGTTTACAAATCGCTGAAAAAGTGCATATTAACGGCGTGAGAGATATTAAAAAAAAAATACATTTCTATAATTTAAAAAAATTAAAGGATAACCCAAAATGAACTCTATGTCGTATTAAACAGTACAATTAGCACTACGCGTAGAAAAAGTTTGAATAAAAAATTGGAGCCGTTTTTGAGAAAATAGCGTTTTGCGTTTATGATAATGCGCAATTTTGAGCTAACAGAAAACTGCTGAGTTTTCGAGAAATTTTATATGACATTATTTAAAGTACATGTACACATAACTGCAATAATATGAACGAATTTGCCGCTAATGTAAATATTAACGATGTGAAAGATAAGTAAAAAATTTAATTTTTATAATTTTGGAAAAATAATCAAAAGAATAGAGCAATACGGCTTTTATGTCACATTAATGCGTTTAAGTCACGCATTTAGCCCTATCCGTACAAAAAGTTTAAAGAAAAATGTTGAACCGGTTTTGAGAAAATCTTGTTTTTGCACTTTTTTAACATTGCAAAATTCTAAAATTGTCATACTTGTGCATCACCTAATTGAAAGAACTAAATATGAAGCAAAAAACTTGAAGGAAATCTCAAATTTCAATTTAGCAGTCGTAGGCAGATGCGGGAAAGAGATCAAACTTTTGACATTTTCGAAAATTCAGAATAAACAGTAAAAAACGGACATATTCCATCTATAAGTGTGTTTTACTCTATTCTTTCAAAAAAAAATTGGGAGCAATTTTTAAGACAATTTTTAAAATGTCCTGGGGCTTCATGTAAAGTACCCCCAAATTTTAAAGAACGTTTTTTCAAAATCACAGCACTTTAAGTGGAGTCAGATCGATCCGGGAATATGATTTTGGATCAAATCCTGGTTTAGGTAGGCACTAATGGTGTTCACAGACCGACGGATAGACGGACAGCTAGTCAGACGAAGAGCGATAAAAACAGCAGCACTAACAAAACAACGACAAAACAACAACACCACATCAACAACCCTTGTTCGGTATCAGAGAACCCCAAAAGTGTATTCCCGTTGAAATCATGAAATCGATATCCGCAGCATTACATAACTTTGTACATACGTATATTACTCCATATATACGTACGTATACAAAAAGCAAGCAATAAAAAAGCAAAATTGTAAGTATTTTTCGGGTTCGTTTGTTTAAGAATGTTTCAAACGGCAACTGAAGTGTAATACAGAAATAGTCACAATATGATAATCCATAACCATTAATATTGCGAGAAAGTATATGCTGTTGTAGCTCCACTAGTGACTGCATTCAGGTGACTCATTGCTTGAGGATGTATTGCCTTTTCCAATATTTTGAGAGGAATGGAAGAATTGAAAATTTCTTTGTAAATGTCTTGAAATGTAGATTCTCTTGCAATTCGTTGGTGCTTGAAATTCCGGGATACAACGGAGATTCTCCTTTGTATTTGGAACCATTTTTTGAGAAAATCTCGAAAATAGCCTATGGGCTTTATGGAAAGTACCTCCAAAACTTAAGATGTCCGATTCATATTCATAGGACTTCGATTTCTCCGAGAAAAAGGGATCTGTTGACAACAACGTTTAATACCTTACGATCACCGTCTGGAAAACATGGAAAGCCGGAAGAACTCAAGGAATTTCTTTGTTCTGTAAAATTCAGGGACTTTGTAGAAGAAATGTCAAGAAGTGGATGAAATGGATTGGCTCACACATTGTAGGTCAACAATTGCATCTGAGGCTCGGATCTGCTGGGCGGGATCAAATATATCACTCCTAGCTATCCATTTTGAAGAAAAAAAAAAAAGTTAGGTATCGCCCTCTATTAGGCATCGGGGGCAGCTTTTCCACTCGGGTGCCGAATGGCCGCCAAACAGCCGAGAGGGCTGTCCCCTTAGTCCCCTCCTCGCACACCAGCTGTTCCAAGCGAGCTCGCGCGACGGGTTTTAAAGCCGAACAGCTGAGCCATACGGCAACGTTGCAATCAGCTGGAAGCAGCGGAAGCTTCAACTCACCAGTCAAACTGGGAATCAAACTTACGACAAAGTACTTTTTGTTTTTGATTAGTAAATAGAATGGAAGCGTTTTTAAAGGCCTGATTTTGACATCTACTGAGAAGTGCGCGTGCACGTGAGCGGCACGTGCATTGGACGTCCTATTGATTGCAGCGGTGCACGCGAATTCGCCGCGCCTACGTCCGCTCCACGGCGCGTAGCCGCGACCTCACTGTGTCCTCCGCGCCCTTGTCGCACAAGCAGCTGGAGTCGGAAGTTTGCGGAGATTTGTTTTTCTTTACTGCACAGATCTAACTGAAACAACTTGGAGAAAGGTATGACGGATATAGGAATTTTACTGTATGATGTTTCCCTACGCTTGATCTTCGTATTTGCCGTACACTCTTTGCAATACTTACACATTGAAGGAAACTGACAATATTGGAAATGGCAACCGATTTTGTCTCAAGTGATAGAGAACTTAATTTCGTCTCCCAGAATCAAAATGAAACTGATGAAGGGGAGATTCAATTCTTACCAATATGCTTGTTCTTGGAAGCCAGTTGAATAAACATTGTTACGCCGGTTTAACGGTGAAGAAAATATAGCGATAATTTAACATCATGCTAAAAGGTTTAATTGACAGAGCTACATAATTCATTTTAAATTCAGAACATAAAAACGATATTTTCAATTACCTATCAATACCGAGAATGTCTAAAGGCCTAATCTCCCTTCTGCAATAATGTCCCAAAATTCTGTTCGTCTAATTGATTACTCATGCTTTATAAAAGGAAGCGCTAATTGAAATTTATTTAGATGATTTATTTTTGGCGATGATAAGGCGCCGGGGGTAACTGTTGGGCCTTCGAAGAAAGCGTGAAACTGCAAGAAAATATGTAACAAAAGAGAATTATTGCGCTGTTTTATAACGGTGTAGGGAAGAATATTAGAGATCAACATGTTATCATTATCAAATGAAGCACTTGCTGTCTTCGCTAAACTTGTGGGCTAATGAATGAGGGTGAGGGTGTGGACTAATATTGTGTCGACTGATAACGAGTAGTATTACATAAGCAGATGCAACAAGTGTTTTTAAAAATAGACCGGCCGTCGAATCGGCCAATGCATCTGTTTGTGTTTGAAAACTTGACAACTTGCCAGATCTCATATTATGCTTGGAGTGTAGTGGTTGATTGCTTAACACTTTAGTATTAAACCTGTACATTGTGGGTGTTAATCGTAATCGTAAATGTCATGGAGTACACCCGCCCTCCAGGAGGCGCCAAACTCAAAACATGCTTTGTTTCATTGTCACCTGCAAGCTCCAGGTCATGCAGATAAATGACAATCATGAATTTATACTGAATTCACAAAGGTTGTGAAAAGAAGAGCTTAACACTAACGGTGTAGAGTCTCGAATGCTCCATTGATTGACTTAACGGTTGTTCCTGTTTAATTCAATGAAATACCGACAATGGCCACTGGCGGTCGAGGAAAAGCGGCTAAAAAGGTATTTTTTCTGTGGCATTTGTTGTTGCAGCAGTGAGGATTCCAATAGTATTCTTATGCTATTTTGAAGTCTGTACGAAGTTTCGAAAATTAAAAATACCTATAAAAAATAAGGTAGCGGGAATTCCGTCCGGTGAAGTAAAACATCCCTCTGGATCAATAAGAAGAATTGCCACCCTAACCAAGACTAAATAATTAGCGTATTGAATAATATGAATAGTTCCCAGGACAGTACGCAAATCAGAGCATATAAAACTGAGGAAACGTATTTTTTAAGAAAATAAACAAACGGTTCGTACTTACATGCGTGCTATATGGAAGAAGTCTCTGAAGAACAGGCATGTCGCGTTTTTTAATAAAATTTCACCCGAAGTAAACTGAATTAAAACTATTGTGACAAGAGCTGAAGTAAGATAGTGGTGAAGCTGATAGTGGTTTGATCATTTCGAGCTTATTGGCAAAGATCCATTGCTAGTTATTTTTAACTTCAGCAGGAATCAGGTGAGATGGGCATTTATACACCCAGAGGGTGCTCAACTGAATGTGGTTCCATCTGTTGGTGAAGGGGTGTTTGTGGCAAAGGTTACACAAGGGCATTTCAAGAACTTACTGTGTGTGTCAGGTAAAGAGGGTGTGCCTCAAATCAGTTGCAGCAGATTCTAGAGTTAGACTTTTGAGAAGCTTTGGACAAAGTCAAGTAAAAATGGTGTTACCAACAATATATGATAGAACTGTAGAACAAGACCAGGTAATTCATGTTTTGAGGGTATTGCTTACGGTAACAATTGCTTTATTGATTTGTCAGAAGTGTTGTAGTTTTCAGTTTTTGTTACTTTACATTTTCAATTTAAATAAAAGTTTTGTATTTTTTTTTTTTATTTCAAATCCTAGAACCATATACTTTGAAGTCATTATTCTTCGTACTGTGTGTTGAACGGTACATTTATTGGTTCAACAGCTGTCTAACAAATAACAGTTTTATTGAATATTAGTTGAAGAAGGCAGGAGATGGTTATTATGAAGACTTGATTGGTAGCATTTTAATTTATTACAAAAGCACTTGAGAATTCTTCAGACATTGAAACTATTTCTGTCTCATGAATAATTTTTGACAATGTGGATTCCAAATAATTGAATGAACATTTGCTATAAAAATAATAACTTATATTTTTTATTCTGACGTTCTGTAGAAATTCACAATAATTTGACAATATTCATAATTGTATTAATTAAAATTATCAAACTCATTCCTAACTGATCTGAATTTTAGAAAATCCTGCCCAATTATGAAATTGAAATGCTAATTCATTATTTCGTTCATTAATAAAGTTATTCACTAGCTAAAATTATGTATATCACATAATGGAAATGCAATTTTTAACTTCTCTTGCTTTTCTCTTTGTTTGACGAATAGAACAGATTGTAATTTTTGGTAATTTTACTTGTTTGTACAATTCTTTCAGCCAGCTTCTTGTATTTTTTTCTGTTGCATGTCAATTTTAGCTGAGTTCATAGAAATGACCAGAGTACAACTTACGATAACTTGAGAATTTGAATATTAAGAATTCTTGACAGTTGTACCAAATATTTGTAATTATTTGGTTTTTTAATCTTTAAGAATAAATATTGTTATTTTTGGAGAGTTAATTTACTGCCAGTAAATTAGGAGTTTATATGGAGCATTTAATCATAATTTTGTCTCCAAACCACTTGATTACTGATATAAAATATTTATTACGTAATTTGATGTCAAAGCAACAGTTAGTCTCTAGGAGTTGAACATGATTAGATGCCAAAGATAATTGTTGTGATGAATAAGCTTCTTAATATTTTATTTTTTTAATGTCATCCAGACTTTTTTCTTAAATGTGAATCATATTGCAGATGGAAGGTGGCAGCGCCAAAAAGTTACTTCAAGATGCAGCTTCTCATCTTGACCACATGTGTTCTCTCGACATAGATTCTCAAGCCTCTTATGTTAGACTTTCTGGTATTATTTGCACAATAGGTATGTAATTGAACTAAAATAGAATTTAAAGATACAATTGTAGGGTGTGTGTGTGTTTTTGTTTTTTTCCCTCTCTCGATTATATTTATATTTTATAGTGATGTTTATCATCTTCAGAATTTTGTGCTTGAGTTGAACAAAGCCATGTTCTTTGTTAAATATTATAAACAGATGTTTTCATTTCAAAGTAGTATTGTAATTTTTAAATTTAGGTACTATATGATTCTGAGAATTTGTTTTAATAAACTTTTAATAATTTCAGGGCCTGCTTCTCGAAGTGTTGGGATGCTAGAGAAAATGATTGAGACAGGAATGAATATTGCTCGGCTGAATTTTTCTCATGGATCTCATGAATACCATGAAGAAACAATAATTAATATTCGCAAAGCTGTGGATGATCATAGTGCCAAAGTTGGCATGGTTGTACCAATTGCTGTTGCTTTGGATACCAAAGGCCCAGAAATCCGTACTGGTCTTCTTGAAGGGGTAGGACATTTTTATTAAGAATTTTTCTCACAAAACACATTGCTATATTTGGAAATGCTTTTATTACTTAAATAAGAATTAGTAAGAACAAAGCCAGATCTAATAAATTATCAATTTGAATTGACATCCATTCCAATTAGTCATTGTTATCCTATGTTCTTGTGTTTTATATTATATTTTGTTTGAAGTAAACTGCTGGTAAATAGATGTAAACTAAGTAACTTTGTGAAAAATAATCTTTTGAGTTCCATTGCAAAAAATGTTTGTGAAGTACACTGAAAGGGCTGGGAAAAGAAAGGGATAACAAGTATACATTTCTCTATATTTTAAGTTGTAGATAATTTTACATTAGAATAATAATTTTGTGTAGGTAAATTACTTTAAACCCGCAAGTTTTGAAATGGATAATGAATTTTTGAAGGAAGTTGATTTTGCAAATTTGTAGATATTATTTATGTCAAAGTGTGTTTAATAGGTTAAAATATGTATATTGATCCCATTGCATTGATTAAATATTTTTCAGGGAAAGCAATTATTTTCAGTGAAAATCATGTCTAAACCATAATGTTTTTACAAACTTAAGAGTTTAATAACTTGAATGAAATAATTTGTTCACAGGGGGGCTCGGCAGAGGTGGAGCTGAAGAAAGGTGACACTATCAAACTTACCACAGACAAAGTTTACGCTGACCGTTCAACCTCTCAGATTCTTTTTGTGGACTATGAAAACATCACCAAAGTAGTGCAACCAGGAAACAGAGTGTTTGTTGATGATGGTCTGATTTCTCTGATTGTAAAACAAGTAGGCAAGTATCTCTATTTTTACCTCCAAGATCATTTTGCATGAAGGTTGATAATAGTTTTTGTTGTTGTTTTTTCCTTCCTCTATCCCTTCTGGTTTTCTTGTGCCAATGGAGCAATGATATTTACAGGTCCCAACAATCTTGTATGTACTGTGGAGAACGGAGGAATGCTTGGCAGTCGCAAAGGTGTTAATCTACCTGGAGTGCCTGTCGACTTGCCTGCAGTTTCAGAAAAAGATAAAGATGATCTCCTTTTTGGTGTGAGGATGCAAGTGGATATGATTTTTGCTTCTTTTATACGTGATGCTGATGCTATTAAAGAAATTCGTTCAATTTTGGGCAAGTACAATGATAGAATAATATAATTATACTTCACTAAGTACTTTTTAATAATAATGTTTAATTATACAGCTCACTGCTTTTTCTAGGCAAAGATGGAGAAAAAATTTTGATAATAGCAAAGATTGAAAATCATCAAGGAATGCAGAACTTGGATGCTATTATTGCAGAAGCTGATGGTATTATGGTGGCTCGTGGTGATTTAGGAATTGAAATTCCACCTGAGAAAGTATTCTTGGCTCAGAAAGCCATGATTTCTCGATGCAATAGGGTCAGTACAAAAGGATTAAATTAAAATATAGTTTTTTCTTATTTCTTTCTTGTTCCTCTTTTTCCCTTTTTCCATTTTTTTAAAATGAAATAATGACAAAATTGCATTTACAAAATTTTGCAGGTTGGAAAACCAGTCATATGTGCCACTCAGATGTTAGAATCAATGGTGAAGAAACCTCGACCAACACGTGCAGAAGGATCAGATGTAGCAAATGCTATTCTTGATGGTGCAGACTGTGTCATGTTGTCCGGAGAGACTGCGAAGGGTGACTATCCATTGGAATGTGTTCGTACAATGGCCAACATATGTAAAGAAGCAGAAGCTGCAATATGGCAGAAACAGCTTTTCCAAGAAATATGTAGCAAGGTGCGTAATAACAGCATTGGTAATCTGCTTGCCTCTTTTAACTTGGTTGAGGAAAATGTTGCTTTTGTTGGCAGGCACTTGCTCCAATTGATGCTTCACATGCTATTGCAATTGCTGCTGTGGAGGCATCTAGTAAATGTCTTGCTGCTGCAATTATAACATTGACTACATCTGGTCGTTCAGCATATTTAATAGCAAAGTATAGACCACGATGTCCTATAATTGCTGTGACCAGGAACTCTCAAGTGGCAAGGCAGTGCCACTTGTATCGTGCCATTCTTCCTCTGGAGTACACGGGTAAGGCTTACCATCTGAATAGTAACTATTTTTATTTCATAACAAAGTTTTTGTCCATTTTTAAATAATAGTAATGTTATTCTAAAATAACAGAAAAATGTCAATAAGAGGGATGGATTTTTAAGGTTTTCTTTCTTTGATGTTTTGAAGTATAGAGAGAGCTAGTGGTTACAGGTTTTAATTTCAGGTTGACATAGGTCATGATGTGCTGCCTTGCATACATTTTTGGGAGGCAAAGTCCTCATCATGAACTTAGTACCTTGTATGTCTCATTCAAAGACTAAGTCCATGATGAGGGTTTTTTCACCTTCCTCTTTAACAAAACACTATTGCAGAACAATATGGAAATTACTTTACTTCGATGAACTACTTGTGACAATTGTTGACCCTTGCAAGTTATTAGTTCCTGCTATAAAAAATGTTCAGTCTTATCAGATTATGGGTATTTTGTTTGGCAAGTTTGTTGTTCAAGAATTGGTATAGAAATGCACAGTCCTCTAGTGAAAATGTTTGTTCACAGCCGGACCATTGGCTGATTGGATGCGTGATGTGGATACAAGAGTGCAATATGGCTTGACATTTGCACAGAAGAAAGGCTTTATTAAAGGTGGTGATCCAGTGGTTATAGTGACTGGCTGGAGACAGGGTTCAGGGTTTACCAACACTATTCGCATTGTGTATGTATCTCCAAATGTTTAGACCTTTCTCAAAATGTATATTTTTATATATTCTTACAGAATCTCATTGTGGCAATAGAAGGAAAATGGCTTAATAATGAAGTGAACTTAATAAAAACAAAATACATAGTATTTCATTGTACTTACAATTAGTATTATTTCTCTTGTTGAGTTTTTCATATTAGTACATTATTTATAATAAAACATTGTGGTAGTTTTTTATGTAATGAAAAAGAAATAAAATGATTCTAATGCTATTTGTTTTCCTTCTAAAGACATGCATCAAAGGAGTTGAATGGGGTATGTTCAAAGAATTTTTCTCAAAATGTTGCTTTTTGGGTTGGTAATGTTGCCTTTTGTATTGTTATTACTTTTGCATTTGCTTTTGAAACTCATTCAAAATCTTACAACTGCAATTTTTGAAGAAATGCTTTTATTAATAATTATTTTTTTGATAGTGGATTATTTATTAAAATTAGGTGTCTGACTAAACTTATTTTTATTGTATTTATTTTTTGATTCTTTATTCAATAATACTTCAGTCAAATTTTGGGATATGTACTTTAAAGATGTACACTTGTCTGACTCTTGTTTGTTTTCTGGTAGAATGTTTCTTCCTGTTGTTAGATCTATTTTGTCATTTTTAAGAATAGCTTAGTACTATATTCTTGGAATTGTATAAAAATTATTTTTTTATTTGAAGCCTTGAAAATAGTTTTTGTTGCCATTATATTGAACTTCTGTGAATCAAAGTGAATAAAGTCCAAAATTACTAAATTACATCTCTTGTATGTATCCCAACCTTTTTCTTTAGAGACAAATTTAAATGATCCGATCTGAAATGTAGATATCTTGAAATTTTACTATACTTATTATATACAATTCATAATAAATATTGTACAAATTATATTAATAATTGTATATAATATTAATATAATAATAATATGTATAATTTAATTATAACTATTTTCAATTATTGAAAAATTTCCCTTTAAGGAATTCAAATTTGGACTTACTCTTCGCATTTCCAGTTGCACATAATATTAGTAATTTAAATTCAAGGACCTACAGTTCAATTTGCTACTTACTTGTTTGTTTTTGTTGTTTTTTCTATTATGTTATTTGCTTCTTTTCAGTAATGTTTGAAGCTGCACATAGGCCAGAATCGAGATCTGATGGAATTTAGAAGTGGATTTCTGTAGAGGTTAATGCTCTGTTACTGTATACACATAATACACATGCTGTATTGCTTTCATACTAATATCGTGCAGAGAGAAGTGTTTGGCATTTACTTCTCTTTAACTTTACACATTTTTCCTTTTATCTGTTTACAGTAAACAGCATTACCAACACTTGCAAAAGTTAGTCTCAGTATTAATTGTTAATCAGTGTATAAATTTAATTATAGAGTTGAAGCAAATTACCTGGAGACACTCAGATTTGAAGGATGCAAATCAGAAAGTTTTATTAGATTAATGTTCAAGAAAAACCTTTACTACTACATAGATCTTGTTTAAAGGAAATAATTTTGGTCACAGTTGTGCATAATGTCTGAACATTTTGTTGTTAGAAGGATTATTTGTAATTTCAAATAGTTATATATTGTCATAAAATTGTTAAGTTTGTATTCTATTTACTTCAGTTTGTCTGAAGCCAATACCAACTCAGGACACAATTATGAGAATAAATAACTTGAATATCTACAAATTTATAATAAATTTCTCAGTGAATTATTATTTCTTGTGTTTTTGAAAACTTCCTGTTGTGACAGACCATTCTTTCCTAATCTCTCCTCTGGTGATATTTTGAAGATCTTATGAATCCAAAGTTTATCTTGTAGAAACTTGTTTTGCTATTCTACTTATGAATTTTATTAAATTTGTTGAATTCTTGGAGCTCTTCCCATTATTATTATTATTATTATTATTATTATGCTTTGACTCTTTGTAGTTTTTCCCCCACAAATGTTGCATCTAGTTGGGTATAGCTTCACAAAGGACTACAATCTTCAGATGAATATATATAATTCCACTGGTTGAAGTGACTGATGTTCGCATTTGGTAGTTTGACTCTTATGTAAAATTTTAATATTTGGGAATTTGATGATAAAAACAGCAAGCCAAATAAATCTTGATAATCAATAGATGTTTGAATTGATTGCAACAAGTTATAATCAGTGGCAATGGGCAATTTTGATGCCTCCCTTCTCTTAACTGACTGCCTTGAGTTTGAGACTGTCTTACGCATCTGTCAGTCACTGGTTTCTAGTCAAATAAAATCTGGTTACTCTCGGAGCTCATTTTTACTTTCTCGTATACACACTTATATACAGAAAGTTATGTTATGCTGCGGAAAATCGATTTCAACGGAAATGCATGTTGCGAAGTCCCTTGATACCAAACAAGTGGCTCTTCTCAAAATGTCTGTCAACCCCACTAGTGCCTATAACATGCACAGATTTTTTCCATATTGAAGAAACCCCTGTGTATCTGGCTCGAGTGGAAACTGATCTTCAAAATTTGGGGGTGCTTTACACAAAGCCACTGGAACATTTTCAAAATTTTTCTTTAAATTCCTTGTAAGAATAGAGTAAAATACATTTATGAAAAGTGGCAAAAGTTCGTCACAGTTAACTCTGAATTTTCAAAAATATTAAAAATTTGAATTTTGTTCGGGGTCTTGTTACAACTAAAAAATTGTCTATAATAAGTTCTTTCATTAAAGTCATGCATATTTTTTTGCAAATTTTAATAGTTTTAATGTAATATTGCGAGCAATATGTGGAATTTTAAAATTACAAAAACAAAATTTTCTCAAAAACTTCTCCAAATCTTTTTTTCTAAGAACTTTTTGTCTTCTTTTTGTGTAAGGAACCCATGCCTGAAGTTTGTAAACTAAGTTTTGAATCACTCTTTATTGTACGGTACAAAGTTGAATGTGAGATTTAAAGGCCGGATATCTATCTTTTTACATAAATGTACTGAAATTACATGAATACAGTAAGTAGCCTACAGTAACAAGATTTTTCCTTAGAAATGAAGTTCTTCCAGGGTATGGTTTCATTATTCTAAGATAAAATAGGCTACGTAGATTTTTACTGATGAAACTATTTGATCTGCATATTTTAAGGGAACAACAGTTTAAACTGGTAGATTGTTAAGGAGTCTATTATATTGTGACAGATATTAGTATCTAGGTTACTGTTTACCTCAATTGTCCATTAAATGAATTTAAAATAAATAATCATTTTTTATACACTTTGAAAAGTAATGGTGCTACAAAAGTACAAGCTTTTTTTTCTATCAACTGTAAGTTACATATTAAATTGCACCTTCTAGCTTACAAACGCTTCATACTTCCTTTGCAAAACTCTTAACAAAATGTCCCAGGATTTGAGCCAGTGACCTTCAATTGATCATACGAGCATGCAATCAACTGAATACACAGTCATCAGTACTAAACAGCTCTTGAAACTTATTCCCAATATTCCATGACACCTTAGAAAATTCTTTTAAAAAATTGTGAAAACTAACTTTCATTTTTAAAAAATTCTGCCCAAAATGATTTTAAAATCTGAAACAGAGGGGTAAATTGCATTAAAAAAGAAGTCTTCAGTAACAATATAGGTGGTGGCAGAAAAAATTAACTTTATAATAACAGAGGTATTATTACGAATCAGACCTGTGTCATTTATATAAGCATGCTTAACTTTATTCAAGAGGGGAAAATAATTAATAAAAATTAAAAGACCTGTTTCAAATTTGCAGGGCTTTGCATGTACCAAGATAAATCAGGAACATCTATTTTGAAGATCGTGTGAATGATTTAAGCACTCATGTCGTCCACAGACGGAAAGATGTTTTTGAAAATATCACTTTTGTAGCAGGATCCCCAAAATAGGCATTTCTATAAAAAAATGCAACATTGATTTTTTTGCAGCATTACAATTCTTTCTTTATTCTATACACAAAAGAATGTAAAAATTTTAAGGGCTTCACCTTGTCTCTTGTTCAATATTGACAATATTTTATTCTGAAGACCTAGTGAGTACATGGCTTTGTCTTCTTAATCTCAATTTCTATACCAGCAATGAAGTAAGGATGGAATTTAGAAGGGTAAACAAAATCAAAACTCTCTTCTTCATAAGCCATATTTGTATTATATTGTATATCAGTCTCAGAAATTTACACATTCACACATCTCTCACAATCATACACACCATATTGACATTATAAAACAATTTAAAATTAATAACATACAGTATATAGGCTTGTAAATAAATGAAAAGTGAGGGAACAGAACTGTTTGATAACCAAGGGCAAGATATAAGAACAACAAATATAATTACAGACCAGGATTATACATTTTGTTCATTACAAACTTCTTTCATTCACACATTTTATGAGTTACATCAATAGCAAGAATTTTTCTGAAGTCATTAAGAAAAAAATGTTTAAAAAGCATTATAAAGTACTTGTACTCGCTATTTTCATACACATACAGCATGTAATGTATATCAATAAATTAAATATTAATTACCTTACCAGCCTAAATACTGGATTCATATAGAATATTACAGTACATGCATTTATAGATACATACCTTATTTACACAAATTTGACTTAAAAATACCTCTATGATGACATATGCATTGCTGAACTTTCATGTTTTTTTTTCTTAGAAATTAAATTTCAGTTGTTTTCTAGTAGCAGTAAAGCATATACCCAACACAGAACACAGAATTTTTATACATGCTGAACATGAAATGTTGCATAGCATGGTTTAAGCAACAACTAATGTTGGCCGAATGAACATAAAACTACTTTATTTGAAAGAGTTTATATACAGAACACTCACGGTACCATCATTATGTCTCACACATTCAATAGTACTGAAATCTGCCTTTAAAAAAAATGTAAACTTCTCCAAAAATTGCACAGTACACATTTCTCTCTAAATTCACATACTTTTAACACCAATTGACCCATCATTGGAATGACAAGAAAAACAAAACCCATTGCTTTTAATTTTCTCCACTTACTAAAGTTCTGTCTTTGGTCAGAGATATCACCATTTTGAAAGGAACATACCAACATTCCTTTACATTCTTGCTTTCTATATTCTGCAAGAAATTAAGCTTCAACTCCTTCAATTTCTACTGTTTGCGGAGTTTCTGAAGGTAACGTAGTGTTGTTTGTATCTTCATCTGTAGCAGGCTTTCCAGTTATCCATACACGAGTATCTTTCTTTAAATTCTGTTGTTTTTTGCTTTCTTCCACTTTTTTCCAGAGACTGGCTATTTTACTGGTTACCTCCTTTTTTGCTTGAGTTTTTTTTGTTGTAACTGTAGCAACAGTTCCAACTGATGTGACAGAACTGAGACTGCAATTGCTACTTGACCTCTGGTTCATGGACTGGGCAATACTTCCTTTTGTACTGTCATTACTTTGCAAACTTTGATTACTTAAAGAAGTTTTCATTTCACCTCCTGCAATACTTCGGCGATTTGGAAGTCTTGATGCAGTTGGGAGGCGTGTTATGCCCGTCCTCCTTTCTGGCATAGTATTTGCTTTCTGTAAACCTTTAGGAGCAAGAGATGCAACTTTTTCTTCGTTTACTTTGCGAGTTGTAGAAGGCTTTGCAGAAGGTATAGATTGATTTTCTTTATGGAATTTTTGTTTGGCGGGAGAAATAAGCTTTGGTATTTGTTTCTTCTTGGGATCAACTTTTAAGCCTGTCGTCTTTTCAGATGGAAGAGGAATGCGTGTTTTAGATGGCAATGGAGGTGGTATTGTTGCATTAGCAACATTTGCTACTGTTGGTTCATCTTTAGTGAATGTACCTTGTCTTTCAGGAGGACGAAATTTGGGATCAGTTTCATTGGGCTGATTCGTTACCTTTTCACCATTATTAGAGTTACTGCTGGTGTTGGTCAACTTTTGATTAGGAACCTTCGGTGATCGAGTGGTGCTGGCACTACCAATAGAATTCCGTGATCCTGTGGCTTTAGAAACTGGGGATGGAGTTTTAATTCCTGACGATCGTGGCTGCTGAGTCTTATTGGTAGCAGTGGGACCTTTCGTCGTTTTTGGGCTGGTACTTGCTGGACTGGGACCCCCTGATGGAGTTTGCGACAGAGATCGGGGTGAAGGGCTAGATGTCATTCCACCTCTGCCTGCCTGTCTAAGATTCGATGCCCTAGTGGGTCTAAAAGATGCAGATTTGCCAACTTGGGGAATGCTACTTTGAGGGCGAGAAGTTTTTAATACTGATGGTTGGACAGGAGGTTTACGGGAAGCAGGAGAGGAATACAGAGCTTTCCGCCGACCCCTTATTGGTTTAGGGCTACTGTTAGGAGCCTCCTCAGGTGCAGTCGAGTCTACACTGCCATCTCTACTTCGAATCTCATTAACACCTGGTTTCACTATACGAGGGCGCCCACTACCCCTAGCTTCTTCAACTTCACAACTACTGCTACTTTCAGAATCTGATTCTGAATCACAAGCACGAGTTTCCTCTCTGGCATCTTCAACATTCTGTACTTTGTCATTATCTGCTCCTGCCAGAGTTTCAAAGTCACCAAAACATTTCTTTACGACATGATTTGGTCCTCTGAGAGGGGTGTTGGAATTCTGTTCAGATTCAGATTCAATTGAAACTAAACTCAGAGTTTCACAATCGATGAACATATCATCACTACTCTGTCCATCAGAAGATTCGCTGTGAATTCTTTCATTCAAACTGTTAATCACTATATTTGCATCATGTTCTAACAAAGTCTCAAGTTCCTCAGGAGTAATGTCAGAAGGAACACCAAACCCAACTCCCAGATTGCTAGAAGCTACACAGTCTTCTCCATTGGTATTTCTATGAACAAAAGTAGTAATATCTTCACTTAAAGTTCGAGTTCTGTATCTGTCCTTAGCTTCTGTCCTCTTCTGCTTCACAGTTTTCATACTTTTGGATTTTTTAATTCCTGGTAATTCTGATGCTGCTGATGCTTGTGAAAGGACATCATCTTGGTCTACTTTTGGTGTCTTCAGATTATCCTCTGCAATTTCAGAACTACTTTCTGGTTCGGGTGGTATCACTGGTTTAATATCAAGAGTTAAAGGCTTGTCAAGTACTTGAGTTTGAAATCTACTTCGATCCTCTTGTCTTCTTTGTTTAGGAGTAATTTTATTTGATTTTGGAGAATCTTTGAGGGCATCAACCTCTGAAACATGGTTGACAGACACTGTTTCATCGTTTTCAGTAGTGTTTTCTAAGACTTGATGAGAGTTCATTTCTTGCTGCATTTGAAGTTTAGCTGCTTTCTTTTCTTGTTCAGCTGCTATAGTGTATGTTCTGTACCGATCTTTCACTAACTGCCTCTTCTGCTTTGGTGTAAGCTGTTTGGATTTGCCTTTTTTAGGAGTCGATTCTGCCGAACTTGTTCCATACTGATCTGACTCTACAGGAGTATTTTTAAGGCTGGTCTCTGGAGAATTTATTGGATATGTGTGTGCAGGGTCTTCTGTAATTAATTCTGTGTCACTGCAAATAGTTTCAGTTCCAGGTTCTATCAGAGATTCCTGATCAGTGAAATCTCCCATTTCATTTAAGAGTGAAGGAGGATTCACATTATCAAGGTTATCACTTGCACTGCTCGTTCTAACACTAACTGATATAGTTTGAGAAGCAATATGAGCTGCATACACTTCAGCCATAGCATTGGCTGCCGGTTTGAGGAGATCAAATAATGCATCACTATTGGCTGGAGATGGTTCGGAATTTGACTGATCCTTTCCAGAGGAATCTGCCACTTCTGATGTAATGCTGGCTACACTAACCATGCTATTTTCCATGTCAACGAGATCCATTACTTCTTCCATTGCAGATGGAGGCTTAATATTATCTATATGGGAGTTGCAACTACTAGATGAACATACATTGTTGTTGTCCAAGAGATTCTCCATACTGCTATTATGGTTATTACCTAATGCACGTCTCACCATCATCCCAATGGGGAGAGACTTCTTTCTAGATGGCTTCCCCTCTGATCGGTTTTGCACACCACAAGTAGGACGAGGCTGGGGAGTAGTTGATGCTGAGTGACAACGATCTTTACTGTCAAACGAATCATTTTCTAGATGACCTGAAAGACTCGTAGTCAATGACAAAAGACTTCCCATCATGGATGGAGGTTTGATATTATCCAAATCCATAGAATTAAGACTGTTCACACTTTGGTCCATGTCTTCAACTTCTGCCTTCACTGCTCCAGCAACTCTTTCAGCCTCTAGTTCTATAAGATGAGAATCTGTCATTGATGCTTCTTGAGGCCCTGGACCAGACACATCCTCTTCAACCAATTCAGGAAGGGCAGCCATGTCATCTTTGTCACTTTTAAAAGATGCTACCATAGGAGCACTGATACTCAGACTAGGAAATGAGACATCATTTGGAGATGCATCTTCATTCCAAGTATCACTGCCCACTAAACTCTGTTTCATTACTGGTGCTTCTCCATCTTTTTCCTTTAATCCATTTACCAAATCCGCAGTCATTCTATCCAATGATGTAATCATTGCATCACCAACTTGTTTCTTCTTTGAACTATCTCCTTCACTTATGAAGTCTGAAGAAGGGCTTTCACCTGAAGAAAGAGGCGACTTGCTGTCATTTGTGTTACTTTCAGGGCTGAGTATTTCGCCTTTAGGAACCAATCTTTTCACTTTAGGTGAATCATCAAAAATAGATGGCTGCCGTTTGTATAATTCTTCCTTTACAGTCATGGTAGCAGATTCATATAATGAGGAACTAGTTTGTCTGATATAATCAGGTCGAGTATCTTCTTTCAGATCTATCTCTAGAACTTTCTTACCATCCTCAAGAGTAAGTGTGTTTACAACCAGAAGGTCTTCACAATTGCTTCCGAGAGAGTAAGATTCAGTGGTGTGAGGAGGATTGGTGGGGACATGTGCAGGGGAACTTCTCTCGCTCTTCATTTCTGTGGTCAAGTGAATGCCGAGGAGATCGTTCTCGCCGACTGCGTTGGTGATAACTCTGGTGGTGACAGTGGTACTGATGATGCTGGTGTTGACGATTGCGGTGTTGCTTCCGTTTGCGTCTACTACAGTGTCCTTCGTGGCTGAAACTGCAGCAGACGACTCCAACCCGTTTTTTGGAAGATTACCATCACCACCACCACCCCCACTACTACTACTACAGCAGGCTTCATCTTGTAGAGACAAGTTCATCATGTCAGATTCCAAACTGGATGTCTCACGATTATGCCTTGAATTCGGTCTCAGCTCTAATTTTGGCATAGGTAGAGAAGGAATGTGGTCTTCTTCAGCAAGTTTGTGGCACTCTGAACTAGCAAGAGATGAAAGAGGAAGCTTGCATGACATGCCCACTTTTTTCTTCAAAACTGGAACTGCAATTCTACTTCCTTTGGATCCACTTACTTCAGATTTGCTTTTTGGCATACCTGAACTTATACACTGTTCTAATAATGCTTGTTCTGATGGAGTGGGTTCAGTAGAACCAAATGAATCAACACTTAATGAACTTAGAGAACCATTACGAGACAGGACAGTGACCATTTCTTCTGAAGCTGAGCTGTTTTTGTTGAGAGGACGGGAAGAAGTAGTAGAATCTTCATGTCTGTCACTACGGTCCCCCCAGCTCCCATCCGAAGCCATCATCAGATGAGGGCAGGGAGGGGCTTCCAGTGTATCACCTTCTGATGTTTGTTCAGAAGTATTCAGCACATGGGGGACAGGTGAGTGAGTACTTGATGCACCAGATGCTGGACGGGCATGCTCTGAAGCAAACAGAAAGGGGAATTTCCATAAAAACTGATTCAGTTCAAAGAAAGATAGCCACCACAAGAAAACACACACATACACACACACACACCAGAACAAGAAATTGGAGATAGTGATAGACACAGTTTGATATTCTGTAAATTAAATTTTAATACATTTATTATAATTCACAATTCAAATATAAATGTTCATATTTCAGTTCACACTCCTCCCAATTTTTTGATAGCCAATAAATGGACTGTTTCTAGACAGTATTCCTGAACGAAACACATTGAAAAAATATATAAACGCCACCTTTATTATATAGTACAATCGGGACAAAAAGACTGGGAAAGTTCAGTGTTCATTTGGTAGAGGATGATTTAAAAAAATGAAAACGGGGTAACGTACATTTAAATTTTAAGGTTAAAGAACAACTAAAATTGATGTACATACATCAATTATTAAAACCACCTTCAATGAAACGACTTTGTTAGTGGCGATACCACCACACAGGTTTTCTCTTATTATTGGTAAGGGATATAACTATCTATTTAGTGGACGTTTTAGACCCTAGGATATTTTTTGCATCCCAATTTTCCTGACTCTTTATTCCACATGCATTTTCCTCTATTTCTCTTTTTTTTTGCAGCTTCAGTTATTGTCATGTTCCATGTCCTTCTCAGTCTACCCTGCTTCTTCTACAATTTAGTATCCATTCCCAAACTTTTTGTTGAAGTATCCGATTTCAATCTTCTCATATATCCATATCATTTTAGTTGTTTCATTTTGAATTTCCTGTTCAAGGTGGTTTGCTCGTTCATTTTCCTTCACATTTCATAATTTCTTATTTTGCTTAACAGAAAGTTTACATCATCTTTGCTAAAATATTATTTCTGTTGCTTGAAGTTTGTTTCTAATTTTTTTATTGTTAGTGTCCACATTCTGCCCCATAGAGGATTGTACTCTCCATGAAAGAGCTATCTATGCATTTCTTTGAGTATACTGAAATCGAGTTCCATAGCACTAGATTCAACTGTCGTGTGTCTATTTTTTCTCTTATACTTTTTATTTTTCACAAATCGTTTGTCTACCATCTACTATTACTGTGACTCCCAAATACTTATATCGTGTTTTACCTTTAACTATTCCTATACTAGTCTCTAATTCATGGGGCATACCCCCACCACCATATATTCAGTCTTTTGCACATTTATTTCCGTTCCCCATTTTCCATACTCTTCTACTTATGTTCTAAACATATATGTTACATCATCTTCATCTTCAGCTATCACCTGGTTGTCTGCAAATTGCAAACTAAACAATGTTTCATTACTAATTTTCAAACCCACACTTATACAATTTCTTTTCCTTTCTTTTAAGGCTTTAAGCCTATTGCCCCTGATATATTTGAAATATTTGGCAGAAATATTTAATAAATGCCTGAAAGGAGAAGCAGTACCAAAAGATGAAAAAGTGCATATATTACATCACTTTATAAGAAAGGAAACAAAGCTGTTTGCTCCAATTACAGGGGCTTGAGTGTCATCCCATCAACAGGAAGGCTATATGGACAGGTTCTAAGAAGTCACATTGAAAGGGATATGATGGAACTAAAAGAACAGTGGATTTAGATCTGGTTGATACAGTACAGAATCTCGATGTCGTAGGCTTCCGCGGCCTGAGTCATGATCTGGGCTGTCCGGGCGACGCCGCGTCGATGGCTGATGTGCCGACGCGGCGTCACCCGGACAGCCCAGATCAGTACAGAATCTCTTTTGTCTGAAACAGCTGATGGAAAAGTTTATGACCTACGGATGCCCATTACAACTAGTTTTTATAGTCCTAAGAAAAGCATACGATAATGTACCAGTGGAAAAGTTGTGGGAATCAATGAACGAGAACAACATCCATGGGCAGTAGATAAATGCAGTAAAGAGATTCTATAAAGGAAATAGCAGTCACGTTAAAACGTATTGCAGGTTTAGCAGAGTCTTTCACGACTAACAAGGGAGTAAGACAAAGTATGTTCACTCCCAATTACCATTCCCAATTTTCAAAATATATAGTTCATCTTGAGAAAATTGACAAAAAAGTGCACTAAAACGGGAATTCAGATAGGGGAAGAAAATAATCATACTTTATTGTTTGCTGACAATCAAGTAGTTCTTGCAGAAGATTTAAATCTTCCTACACGATAAATAAACTTTTAGAGGAATATGAAAAATGGAGATAATGGAGATTGGAAATTAACATGAAAAAGACTGATTTTATGGTAGTCGGCGATGTACATAAAGATTTAATCCTAGAGAGTTCAAAGATGAAAAATATAAATCATTTTATGTATTTAGGAGTAATTTTGACTGAAGAGGGTATGAATCAAAGTGATATTTTATCAAAAATTGGAAAGGGTGACATAATCAGTAAATTAAATGCACTTTGGAGCAAAGATATTAGAAGTAAAACAAAAATCCAGCTATAAAAGTCTTTCGTAGAGAGCACAGTAACATGTGACTCTGAAATTTGGGTACTTAACCAAGTTCTGGAAAAGAGAATTAACAGTGTTGAAAACAGATTTTGGAGAAGATGCTGTGGAACCACGCTGCTTGATCATGTTGAAAGATAGACGTTAAAAAGGGGGTTATGTATAGAAGGATGCTTAAGTGATGATGTTGAAGAGGAAAGATTAATATGGTACCGCCACTTACAAAGGGATGGATTCAGAAAGACTGCTCAAAAAGGTTTATAACTGGATGCCAACAAGATGGAAGAAAATATGTTAGCCAAGAGTGAAACAGAAGGAAGGTGTAACAGTGGCAATGGAAAGGAGAGATGTTACAAGACTTTTGGCATGACAAAACAAAATGGTGCCTTGTGATTATGGCCAATATAGTGCTGTAAACATTGCTATTATGATTATCAATGTTTATCTTAAACAGGGTTGGAGATATACAAGCCACACTGTAATTCTTAATTTACTGGGAAGTCATGTGATAGACATTTTTCCACATTTACTAGACTCCTGTCATCTTTATAAAGTTGTCTGACTGCAACCTTATTGATATCCTTTTCTCTTCCATTGCCCCTAGTGGAACATAATTTCCTTTCCTTTCATTTCCCTTCTTTTTGTTTCATTCAACACTGAAATCCATGTTGAACTCTGTGATTGCATTAAAAACTTTATTTTAGTGCTTAAAGGTTGAACCTTTCAGTGCCCTAAGTTCATAGACAATTTGTTCTTAGCCTTTGTCATCGTGGCGAGTTTATCCGAGGCTCATTTTCATTGAGATTTTGAGTGGATTTTTATATTTGCAGAGTATGGGGGCACTGGCCCCATTCCTCAACCTCCTTCCAGGAGGATCAGGTCATTTTCTTTTAGGGTTTTCTTCCCTTAGTTTGAGTGTCTTCCATGACTCCCAAGTTCAATCTACCCTTTATTTGAAGCACTTCTGCTTCTAAACAGGAAAAAAGTAATGGGAAGGATAGATGATATAATACAAGGGATATGTAATATTGTGCAACTTCTAACCTAACATTTCAGCTCACACTTTAAAATCTCCTAATCAAATAAGGTACGAGAAGTTTGAAAAAAATATGTGCAGTAAAACTTCACTCATACGTTTCTCAGGGGGCTGAAGGGAAAAGTGTATAAGTGAGAAAAATACATAACTGAACATGAATAAAATGATCAAAATAAAAACTCAATTTTTTTTTACACTACAGTTTTTTAAGAAAAGATATTAAAAAAAAGAGAATTCAATAATCAGTTTAAAAACTACTAATGAAAAGAGTCTTATCTTAACTTGTGTTTAACATTACGATTTGCCTATTGGGTGCAGTAGTGCACAAAACATTTCATGATTAGGGGGTTAGTCTTAAAATTTCCATAACTTTATCTCTAGTCTTAAAATTAACTATAAATTTTATACAAATTTTTATTTTAAATGTTATTTCAAATTGCATTGTAGGATTGAAGTTTAAAAAAATAGGTTTCTCGGAAATGAAATTTATCCACAGTCTCCAGTTCCCTTTCCACAGCAACTCTTAAATTTTTTGATGTCCCTCTGCCAGAGGTGGGCCTGAGAGCTGACTTTGCCACCCCATGGGTTTGTGCAGTCTTGGCCTCTCAGTTAAGCCAAGTTGATCTTCTATATTACAAGTTTCATTAACGGGAAGCCACCGCCGAGGCTGAGAGGTTGCTCCATCGGAACGCAGCACAGGTCTGCAGGGCTATCGAACGTTATACGGTCTTAAAGGGACTTTCATTATGAATGTGAAAAATGTATAAACGTAAAACACACATCTGAAATAGCTTAGCATTGGAATTAGGAATTTATCTGGAACTTGCCAAAAAAATATTAACATGAGAAATGTATAAGTGGGAAACACATAAACACTTTCACTGTAACTTTAATTGTTTTCTTTTTTTTTTTTATCAAAAGTTTTCCTGAAAATGGTACTTCTGCCAATTAATCCAGTGTACTGTGCTCTATTCTTACAAAAAGTTTAAAGAGAAAAAAGAAAAGTATTTGCAAGGGTTGGGATTTGACCTCCAAGACTTATGTATCCAAAACATGATTCTTTACATGGCTTATTATACTGGATTTTTCCACTTTTTTGTTACCAGGGCCTGCAATAAGAATTTTTCTTCCAAAAATTCCCCTTTTTTACATGTAGCATTAACATAACTTTCTCTCTACTCTGAAGGGAGAAAGTAATATTGTGAACAGAATAACTTCCTTCCTTACACACTTTAAAATCATTGTCAACAATCGGAGTAGTTACCTCCTTTGAATTTACTATCTTACCTCCTTGAAAGTCTTCATCGTCTTCACATATGCTTAAAGAACTTAGAGACGCTGCATGTGACACTTCAAGAGGAGTATCTTCAGTTGCGAATCTAAGAGGTGTATCACAAGAAGTTCCTTCTGACACTGGTCGACTGAGAAGTGACCTGTATTAAAAAATGGAAAATCAAAAAAGATAGTATTACCCTTAAATGGTTGATCACAAACAATGAAATATCTAGAACTAAGAAAACAGAAGTAAATGATCATGGCTGTCCAGGAGATGCCGCATCAAAGATTGTAGTGCAGATGTTTCCAAGCTGATGTGCTGGGCAGACCGCCCCTCAGGAAAATGACAACAAGTCGGTCGAAATGTCAGCACCACAGCCTTCGATGTGACCTCAACCGGACAGCCAAGATCATTTGCATGACTCTAGTCACAGAAGCCTACGACTTCATTTAAGAAAATAGAAAAGGTGTCAAGTAAGTGTAAAGTACCTGCGCACACAACCACCTGAGGTCCCAGGCTCACCACTATTGATAGTTAAATCGCTGAGTGATGAACGAGAAGAGAAAGTTCTTGGGCTTCCTTCTGTTGCGTACGTTTCCAATTCATCTCTGGCTCCTGTGCACTGAGGAAGCACAACTTGCGATCCAGGAGCCTTTCCATGTTCTGGCACCAGTCGTTGGGGAGGGCTTGCCCGAGGTCGTCCCACTGCAGGTCGTCTAGCAGGCATAGGTTGTCGTGGAGGACCATGATCCAAGCCACATAAATGATGACTTCGTGGAGGTTGTACAGAGACAGGTCTCCTTACAGGATGCGACTGTGTAGCAGAAACTGCTGCTACAACCTTGTCTTGCACTGTCAACACTGGTTTAGCAATGCATCCAGGTTGAGGTAAGATTCTCCTGGTAGACTGTGGACGGGCCTACAAAACAAAAACATATGGTAGCTTTCCAGAAATTGTTTATTAACTTCTTTAATATGAACCAAAGAATCACCAATTCAAAAAATATATGTAATTAAAATTAACACTAATTTTAATTACATGTCTTTCTGTCAAGTTTAGTGTCAACAATTTTAAAATAATTATTTCTATAATCTTATATGGTTATTTCAATGATATAAATACAAATTCAACTATTATGATTTTTATCTGTTCATCTAGGGCAATTTCTGGAACAACTAATTTTCTATTAATACATTTTGATTCATTCCAGTAGCATATTTAGGCATTGAGTAATTTATGGTAAAAATAAAATTAAAAAATACACACACACACGAGGGACTGGACAATTGTGAGGAGTAAGCAACAACACATCTGTTTAGAGCTGCCTGTAGAAATAATAGTGGTAACAATTGAGCAAACTTGGCAGGGTATGGTGATACCCGGCGAGACAGGGTGAGGATGGAAAGGGTGGAGCTGAGCAGGCTGAGGCGGGATAAGATATGACCTGAAGGGGAAGGGTTGAGGCAGGACAGGACAGGGATACACCAGTCTGAGAATTCCTTATCCTGTCTAATAGACAATTATGATTAAGAAATACCTCAGCAATGGAGGATACTTCAGCTAGTCTTTACTCTGTTTTTCAGGAAAATTTAATCCTTTTACAAAATATCTTTTCTATAGATATAAAATCGCCTTCACTTTTATTTTATGTATACTGCCTTATACCTACTCAAGAATCTTTCTTTTCTTCCTTTACGTGTTTCCTGCACACTTTCAAATGACAACAATGCTAATACACTACATTTGCAGTATGGTGACAGGCCAATTGTCTGCCTGACACTGACACTGGCTGTCAAAATTTGTCAATCATTCCTTGTTCTGCATGAAGTGCAATAACTTTTATGAAGGGTTCACTCTGGATTAAATATAGTAATTTCTCTCCTCTCTAACAAAATTTTACTAGAATATGTTATAATCACATATTAATATATTTTAGTTCTGAAAGATTCTCTATACACTGTATTTATCTGCATGTACAATGAGTTTTTTTCCTCAATACCCAAACCAAGGGAACAGGTTTATTTCATTTTCACAGATTAAGCCAAGTCGGTTGGGATCAATGTTTTTACACTACTTTTTCAAGTCTAGAAGCTTGAACAATGGAGCAACATTAAATTGCGAAGCAATAAAAACCTCATTCATCTATTACTCCTGTTTTGTATTCCAGACTTATTCTGGGGCTCATGGATATGGCGGGCAATCTTATTTAATGGACAAGTAAAGGGAGTCTTAAATGAATGGCATTGTAAATGAAATACAAATGGAAAAGAATAAAAATCATGCTGATATTTTGTTAAATCAACAAGGTCAAGAATCGACATGGTGTTGCAGACTCGCGGTTTGACACCCAGTGAATGCAAATTTGTGTTTTGCAAGAGATTGAAATGGAAAAATGGATGAATTGAAATATGAATTCTACACTCAACCACAGATATGGAATTATAAAAATTCATTTTTTTGCTTAGCAAAAGAATCCCAAATAATGGACACTTTGTTGTCCTCCTAGATTAAGAGGAGTGTCAAAAAGAAAGAAATGGCCAATGATTTAATGATGAATATGGTAGTGATAAAAACAATGATGACTAGATAGTGATTTCAAGAAAATAGGCAAAAAGGTTCAACACTAATAAGACAATTTGCAATTTTATGTTGACTAAATAATAAGAATTATCTAAAAATGAAAGAATTGTCACAAGGTCTCTTAAAAAATTAGAGGTAATCTTATAATTGGGTAAATGCAGTTTTGCTTTCTTTTAAACCGAGTCAATTTTATGGTTACAAACTACAGTAAAACAGATTTTTAATAATGACAAAAATACATATTGAAATTAATCAGGCAAAAGCAAACTTGATAAACACTACTGTATTGACTTTCAAATGGCAGACAGAATTGCCAATGATTCGAGCTATTTTTCTATTATTTTATATGTTTGCGTAATGTGATATAAAATCAATTTTCACTCTATTGTGTAATCAACCTTTTTTTTTAAAAACACTGACTTCAAATCTCTCTCTTTAAAAGAATAGTTCTAATTATTTACTTTTGGCATCCCAGACTGAATACATTCTGCAAGAATGTTGTCTCCATCGCCAGAAAAATTAGAACTGTCATCTGACAACTCCGGCCTTTCTTCTTGATCACATAGCTCCACTTCTCCTTCCTCTTTCTCTCCTGGAGCTGCCCCTGCTTCCTCTCGGCCAGCTTTCTCCTGGGAAGGTGGGGCTTTTATTAATGACCCATTCGAAACCTCAGTCTCGTGATCGTCGCCTGGCAGCGACAGCACAGAGAGGTCAGAATGAGACCCTGCATGTGAAATGTTGGCAGGTGTTCCTTCAGTATGGTAGGTACGAAGTGCGTCTTCACATACTCCACCTCCAGGGACCTAAACACAAGAAATGTGCTCATAATAAGCCCTTCAATTTTCAGAAATATTACAGGATTTAGCAAGTTTAAAAAAAGGTCTGAACATAGTAAGCATTTGACAATAGTTGAGAGTGACCTCTACCACGTGCTTGCAGCAACTTGAAAGGTTTCACAGAGAATGAACGAAAATAAATATGGAACTGAGGTACATTTTCTAATCCTTCATCAATTATTTCCAAACTGCACAATTCCATGAGAAAAGAACAAATTTCAGAAATATTAATTTAGAGCTGCCTCTCATTTCCTGAAACAAATTCCTCTGACTTGTCCTGTTTTCCAGTGCATTTTTTAATGATAAAATTTGTAATTTTACAATTCTTAAAGAAAACATTACAGTTACTTTGATACTAATTGGTAGGTACAGATTTTGCCATCACAAAGAACAAGCTAACAATATTTTCTCACCAAATAAAAATTGACCAAAAAATAACATTGTATTAATGTTTTTAAGGAATTATATCTAGTTTTATAACCCTTTCAAAATTTTCTCTGACTACTCACTCTCCAACAAATTCTGTGATTTTCCCCATTTTTTTCATGTTTTCCAGGAAGTGGCCACCCTGATAATTTGAAGTCACTGTATGGGGGAGGTGTACATGATTTGCACACTTTGTGAATAGTGGAAATATCGTGAACACTGTTCATCAAATTTACACAAAGAATTTAGTTGTTAATAAGATAAAACACTCCACTATTGTCAGATTCTGTACCGTGAGTGTCAGACAGTGTACTTATCACTAGTAACAACACACACTGATTCACAAAGGGCCATTATCAATTCCTCCACATTAGTTTCAATGCCACCCACATTCTTTCTGTCATGCTCCTATTTATCACAATTTTGTGAGCACCACAACTTTTTGCAACATACTGTAAATGTTTTATTATTTTTCACCCACAATAATGAATACAAGATGTAAAAGAAATATAACAATAACAAGAAAGGTATAAAACAAATATAATATCAAAACTGACAGCACAATAACACTCGTCACTAGACACAGACAGTCAGGAGATATACACACTTCAGGTGTGATTCGTTAGCCCTAGAATTTGAGGTGACAATGCTGAAGTTTGTGATTTGCTGATACCAATGGTTACGGTGCTGGCATCGCCACAAACTGTCAATCCCATACTAATTTCATTTAGAGCATAGTAAAGAGAAGAATTTTAGAGAAATCCGACTCATTATAGTAATAAATTCAAATAATTATGAAAAGTTCTCTCTCCAAAAAATACATAAATTGTAACTTCCATATTTGTATCAGTACTTAGATCATGAAAATTCTTTAAAACTAAATGAATGGAAATACATACCTCCACGAAAGTCATGGATTTTGTGCTGGTCCGAGTAGGTTCAGGCTGGCGGTTTATTCGATGTAACCTGGGCATGTTATTACTAGGAGTCTTTATTGGGATACCACTGGGTCGGCCACCACGGTTTAGTGGTCCTGAGTGAGGATAGTGTCGAGCAATGGATTGTCCACGAAGTGGCACTTTAATGCCACTACTACTTTGTTGACTTTGGCGTTGCCTGAAAGTAAGAAAATTTGTTTAAATTCAACGATAATTGCTAGTGAAGTAATACATTGTATAATTGTGTTTTAACAAATACTTTGGCAAATAAATGGTAAGGGGATCAGATGAGGTCACTTCACTAGAAATGGGAACACACAGAATATTTAAACAAGTGATTACACCTAAATAATACATACACCTGAATTATCTATCTTTATTTATTTTCATAACGGTTGTACATCAATTTATTTTCCTACTCCCATTGTATAATTCTTTTAAGACATGGCTGCAGCTTGTTAAATGATAGTCATTAAGATATAGGTTAATTAATAATAGGTACAGGTGATTAACCTAAGGTTTGTATATGTCCTCTAAATTACTAATCATCCTGTTTCCAGAATTCTGTTCAATTGTCCCAAAAAAAGTTGTCAGGAAATCAAAATATCCCATATTTTGCTTTGCTCCTATTTTACTCTTGGTTAGTATAACTAAAAAATATAAATACTATATAATATAGATTCTTATCTAATATCACATGAAAAAAATAGGGACCTTCTGAATTCTGTACCCCACCTACTTTGTAGTCCTAGAGAATTTTGAATACATTTGCACATCCTAAACACTGACAACACAGTTAAGTAAAAATTGTTTCAAGTTCATTTCCTAGTCTATCAATTTCATTTTCACATAGGGAGAATGTGCACATCATTCCTAGTCCTTTCTTTCACAATAATATTTATAAGAATATTTTATATATTTATTGTGGATAATTTATTCCTGTTTTTAACTTCATATATTTTCATTTATTCTGTTTCTGTTAGTCTTGAAAATGAGACAAAAAGTCTTGAAATGTTGGCTGCAACAAGTATTTTTATCAATTGCTCATTCATATCAATAAACCTGAAAAAATAAATTGTCTGTCCATAATTAGTCTTGGAGCATTCTCCCTAAAGTTAAATATTGTTTTGTTTGTGGGTGTGAATATTTCTGAATTATATCCGATTGAGAGAAATATATTTAACAAATGAGTTAACATGTTATTTGATATAAAATTCTTCAGGTATAAGCATAGTCAGAGCTTCCTGCAGTATTTTCTATACATGTTACACAGAAAATTGTATTTATTACAACCCGAATAAAGGGAGGGAGGCAGAGGGTATGACAGTTAGTCTTCAGGAAAGGTCTGTTGACGAGTGCATGCTGTTCAGATGGGTAGAGTATAGTGATTAGAAACACACTTGTGGTAGGCTTGGAGGACTAATTATTTGGACAGGTAGCAAGATAAAAAAAAGAGCGGTGCTGTGATTCTCAGGTCATGGGACTGCCCCCTCCCATCATGCTCTGGCCTTCACTTGAGTTCTCAATGTTGTAGGGTTCTGGTCCAAGCAGCGAACAGTTCCTGATGGACAGCTGATGATTCCTGATGGTTCTAATTTAATTTAAGACCATATATGAAGCTTGAGTCTGACCCATACGACATATTGTATATTTGTGTCAAATGTCATTACAGTATTACAACCCCATGTGTTCTATTGGGAAAATAATTTCCACTGCCTTGTGAAGAACAAAACAATGTGATAGACCTCTGTCAGGTTTGGATGTTAGTAATGTTGTGAAATGCTAGTATGAGTGTATGATATGAGGAGAGAGGGCAGAACACAATTATAATGAGGTGTGCAGGTGTGGAATATAACCAAAAATAGTTCCATTGACTCAACAATTCTTAAAACGACCCAGTTAATTTTGTATGGGCAGAGCTCTCTACACTTATTAAGACAATAAATTACCTGCTATTCTGCATGCCAATGCTAATACATGCTGCAAGCATGTCTTCATCATTTTCCTCTTCCCCTTCACTCACTGGTGCAAGTTCACAGCAATCTGCCAACTCCCTCTTCTCCTTCTCCATGTCCTGTTTTTCCATTCCGTCTTCTGTAGAAGAACTGCTACATCCTGCCACTGGACCGCTTCTGTGAGCCACAACAACAGCAGCTGGCCTAGCTTGTGGTTTAAGCACTCCTTCCTGGAAAAGGATGACCAAAATGTTATTTTTGAAACTTTTTCTTTACATTATCTATATAATTTTATTGGCTTAGTCCTGTAAAAGATGCTTGCTCCAACTGGTCAAAGAAATTACAAAAATGGAAAACAATTAATTGTTTTTAAACTTCATTTAGATTTTTAACTTGAGCGTTGAAAGCTAATTTATTCCAATAAGGTTTGTTTTGTAATATGAAAGTTAAACAGACATTTGGGTGTTATATTAAATATGATTAGGTTTTATTTGATATCCCTGCTAACTAGCATATCCCATTTTGATTTACATTGCGGAAACTTAAATAATAAATGAAATGTTGCTGGGACACAATGATGACTCTAGTTGCAAATAGTAGCAACTAATGCCCATTATATGTCAACAAATAAATTTTCATACCATGGAAATATCACAAGTACTCTTGGAAATATCCAAACTCAGGAAGACATAGAAAGCAATCTTAATAACTACAATAGAATATGAGGAACAATTAAAGAGACACTTTGGCAGAGACATGGACCCGGAAACAAAACAAACAACCCAACATATGATTGATGATCGTAAATGATGATGATGTTATGATGGCCTAAATTATGATACTTATTTCCATAGAGTAATAATTTCAGAAATTATCATTATTTGAATGTTTTGAGTAATCTGAAACCATAAGTAGAGGCAAGTGCTACAAAACTCTCTTGCTTACACCTGAAGCTAATTGGACTTTGTTTTTTTAACCACTCAAGGCAGAATGTAGCAAAGCTCTTCTACGAAACCTTAATTTTTTTGTTTTGATAAATACATAATAATAACCAAACCTTTTATCAAATGATTTCAAACCTTTAAAACAGCATCATTACAAATCTTGGGCTCATCATCAATGGTGAGAGAGCTGAGACTCGTCGTACGAGAAAATTCTACAGGGGTGCTCTCTTCCTTAAAAGTTGCCACATCATCTTCAAATACACTAGCCTTCATTCCACTGCTACTGCCAGCTGTAAAACGAAGCTCAATTTTACACAAGAACACAAAGTTTCTATTTTTCAAAATAACTCTAAATTTTTAAGAGAATTATTATGCCAGTTAGCAATGGTTAACTATAAGGTATTTAATAACATGCTTCTGTACTTATCAAAAGTTTAAACATAATAGACAAAGTTTTTTTAAAATTCAGTGCAAATAAGATTAAGAAATGAAAATACTAGAACCAAACTATCAAAAAAAGTTTTTTCATTATTATTCACAATTTAACGCAAATGTGTTAAATACCTTGATGCCTAGGAGCTAATGGAGTACTCCTTACAGCTCCACTATCTCCTGAGAGTCGCGAGGTGAACTCAACTGGTGGACCGGATTGTTTGCTTTGGTGACGTGGTGATGGTGGCACAGTTTGAGTTGGTGAATCCGGAAGTTCACTAGGAGACACAATGCCACTTGTCCTCCGACTGGAAAGAATGCAAATTGAATTTTATATGAACAGATATGCCATTATTTGTGAATTATCTCACTATAAAGCTTTCAGGTTTTAACCTTAGTTCAAATATTACCTGAAATCACTGACAACAGAGCTGCGGTCATCGTGAATGGAATGTTGTTCAAAACTACTAAGGGACCCCAAAGAACTACACCGAGAAAACATCAAAGGTGTTTCTTCTGCATAATGATCAGCTCCACCAAACGTCACCACTTTGCCAGCTAAAAATTACAAAATCATATTAAAACATGTTTACATACTTTATTCAGAACAAAATATGAAATTCCAAACCATTGTACACAAAATATTAAAGAAAGGTCTCAAAACCCCAAATCTGAAAGGAGAACTAGGCTCAACAACTTAGTGCAGCATTTATTTGACATTGTTAAAGAAAAGATTCCTACAATTGTGACATAAAAATGGAGGATTGATGAAAAATTAACACCTTCACATTTTTTTGATTACATATTGTGTGTGTGAAGGGGGGGGGGGGGGGGAGAAAGAAAGCTAATTATATGCTTAAGATTTTTTTTAAAAAAGAAGAACCTTATACCAAAGCCTTCATTGATCCTCCCCTCACTTGCCTCTGAAGTTCAATTTTATTATAAATAGAAAGTACGATGCAAGACGAAAGTAAAATAATTACTGATCTAGATTGTTACCAAAGCAATATCAGTACAAGAGGTACTGATATTGCTACTGGACTGTTTAAAGAATCCAAAAAGCTACCATGGTTGGAGTAGTAATTATGTTTTATATATTGTCAGAAATAATACTTCCATCAGTGTGAATCATAGGATACAAGATTTTTTTTATAATTTCGTTTTTATATATTGAAAAATAAGTATTTTCTCAGTTTCAAAATCTAGGTGAAATATGCATTGATCAGGCAAATCTAATAACATTTAAGACTTAACAGATCACTACTGTATTCCATATCAAAATCTAATCTCTTAAAAAAATAATGGGAGAGAAGTTTAAAGTTAAAAAGTTTATTGTACATAAAAAAATGTTACGAACCTTCTCTATCCGTGCGTGGTTCCTCTTTCAATTCTTCTGCTCCTTCAGAAGCAATGTTCTTATTGTTTGGTGGCTGCTCAGGTGACTGCCCGGGTCCCGGCAGCTGCGAGGGGGGAGAGCATGGGCCAGAGTGATCTTGGCTCTCCGTGCTGATTCCCACTCCACTGTGCAGAGAGCTAAGGGAGCTCACACGAGAGAAACAGCCAGGTGTGCCTTCTTCACAATATTGCACAGGTTTCTCAGGAGACATCAAGCCTGAGCTGAGGCCAGACTGCAAGCCTTTCACTGGAGGCCTGGGGGCAGTTGGTGGTAAGGACTTCATCTGAGGCTCCTTGTCCAAGCACCCATTGCTGAAGTTATCGTTCTCTTCTTTCCCTTTTTTCTCCTCGGCTTCTATTGCAGCTTTCTCAGTGTCCACCTGTTCAATTTCTTCTTTTCTTTTACCGACTGCACCTTCTTCCTCTACTACACTGTCCCCTCCCACCTCGTCCTCCTCTTTAATGTCTTCTTCGTGAGGTGTTGGAGGTTCTACATGCAAATCTGACATAGATGTTGCTGTTGAGAAGTTGTATGGGGTCTCATAAGGAGTGCCTTCAGTGCAGTATGTCTTGAGAGTATCTTCATGAAGAGGATCGGTAGATTCATAGTACGTTCTTTCAGGTCTTTCTATTGTACCATTTTTCTGATAGCCATCTTCTTCCTCTTCTTCTTCCTCAGGGTACTTAAGACTGTAATCTGTAGGTTGATCCAAGTCTGTTTCTGCATAATCACCATATACTACATTCATTTTCATGTTCTTATTTGTAACACCAACACTGTTTGGAACTTGGTTTTTGTAAGTGTAGCCTTGGCCAAGATCATTCTGATTTTGTTTACTCCTGGGGACATTTGAGAAAGCGGGTTCACTTCCAGATGTTCTTTCACTTTGAAGAGGTGCTTTTGCTCCTTCCACATCATTATGAGTATTCACAGGATGCTCAACATACTTCAAACTGTAATCAACAGGCTGTTCTTGTGATTCAGTTTCTTCAAAACCCAGGTCTGAGTATTTGTTCCTAGTGTAAGCTGAGGAGTTTTGCCCCTGTTGGTACTGGGTTCGACTGCTGGATCCACTAAACGGAGACCCAACTAAGGGGCTAAATGCAGAGCGTTGATTAACTGGACATGGGTTATCATATAACAAATTTTTGTTCTGTTTAGCAGGACTAGCAGGTGTGAGAGACATTACATCTAACTGAACATTGCTGCTCAATCTTATTTCATCAGCTTCCACTGTTTCTTCAGGAACTTTTGTTTCTGGTCTCGAAGCATCTGGAGATGTATCCCTGGGTGCATCATCTGGGACAACATCTCTCCTTTCAGGGCACACAGCTTCCTCTATCTGCCCTAATCTACTACGTTGGAACGTTTCATGGTCAGAACTTGATTGACGCTCATTGTCTTCACAGCTAATATTTAACGGAAGAACTTTCTTTCTTTCCTCTCTTTCTTTCATGGAGTTAACATATCGTCGCAGGAATCTCCGTTCGGAAGACAAATTTTCATTTACTATATGAGAATGTAACCTCCCAGATTCTGTTAAACTACTGTGTAGAGCAGAAATACCAGATGTATCGGATGTAGAAAGAATTGGTGGGATTTCACTGGAAGGGGATGCTTGTCCGTAAGTGTACACATTCACTACATTTCTACTTACACGTTCATACACTGAATCGGAATGGGTACTTGTCACAGAGTCACGGCTATCAGATCGAGCTACAGGACCTCTCTGATAGGTGCTCTTGTGAAAAAGTCTTGAATGTCGTCTCTCAGCAGAATGGTACTGTCTCTCAGTGAAAGATTGATTAGGTGAAGTGCTAGGTTCGATATTGTCACATGTTTCTGCTAATGACTGATCCAATTCTTGCTCTAGAGCCCTCTGGCGACGAGCGTGCAAACCAGGTAGAGGGGTCAAACCCATCCTGGCTGTAACAGGGTCAGGAGGTGGGGGAAAGCTGTTGTCAGGACGAGCAGAGAGCAGATTTTTGAGAGCAGCTGATGATCCCATTGAGATCATTTTATGTTTTGAGCGGATTAAACTACGTAACATTGAAACAGCACCCATCTCCCACAATGTTCGCTGATCTTCAGCACACTGAGCAGAAAGATTCCAGAGAGTTCCACAGGCATTACTGACAATTGTAAGGCTAGGGGACTTCAATTGTTGAAGCAGCACTTGTAAGCATTTGTGTTCTCTAAGTATAGCTCTGTAATCTTCCCTCATAGCAATATGGCTAGAAACATTTCGTAGTATACCACCAGCATTTTCAATGATTGCTAAAGATTTGGAAGGAGCTTGATAACTCAGCATGTCCACAAAGAAGCCCAGTGCACCCTCTACAGCACAGATATCCACCTGAACCAACATAAGAACATAAGAAACACACACATTTAATCACAAACAAATGTTTACCAACATAAATTATTAATTTGATAAATATTGTTAAACTTACCTTATTAATGCTGCAATGAGCAGACAAATTCCATAGAGCTGACAAAATAGATTTGAGAGTAGATTCCTTTTTGGCCTCCATTGCAGCATGGACTAGAGCAGGAACTGCTCCTACTTCACGTAAAGTTTGTTTGCTAGCACTGTCTGCTTTCCATGAAAGGTTGCGAAGAACACTAGCAGTTACCTTCAGGAACCAAGAAAATAAAATAAAACTTCTTTCATCATAGAGATGTAATACTTTACCAACAGTTTAGTGAACATACCTGTCTAAGGTCTTCATTAGGTGAACTTAACTGGGCAACCAAAGCTCGCATGAATTGTTGAAAGGAACATAACAATGCCTTGTTGTTGCTGTCCCCAAACGTTAGGTTAGTTAAAGCCATTCCAGCATAACGACGAAGAATTATACAATTTTGATCAGAACTTGTGCTGCCATGAGCTTCATGATCCATCTGCAATAGAATTCATATTTTTGTAAGTCAATTAAAGTTACTAGGTACACTTCTTGAAGGATTTTAGAAGGTGAAAATAAATCAATTTAACAGAATGTGAAGTACATTTCCCAAACTATGATGAAACGTTCAAAAATGTAATGAATAAAATAAAAAAAATCAGAATAATATGGAAGTTTTTATATATTAGTTTGTTAAGCAAATTTACTGTGTATAGTCAACCAACCTTTTAATTTCATACATGAAAGGAATTTGTGCTAGAATAAGGATTAACAATGAAGGAAGCAAGATAAAAGGGTTGACAGAAGAAGTGAAGAAAATTTTTACATTCAACAAAGTACTTCAAAGTTGTTATAATGATAAAATCTTCAAATATGCAAACACAAGAATTCTTTATAACTTTTGAAGAGAATTAAGGAAACAGTAAATAGGTCAATATCAGATTTTCAAATTTGTTGCGTAAAACCCAATTAATAATAAACGAAGGGAGAACTGTAACAATGCCTTTTCAAATTCAAATAAACAATTGTGTACTCCAGTGAAAATTAACAGTGTGTTATTGACTGAAGTTAAAGTAACAATATTTTGGTCTTTCGTTTCAGTCAAACTGCAATTGAAACATCCATTTAAATGAATTAGATACTTACTACAAAATATTCACTAACAATACATTATTTGTAAATTATGTGTATATTATTTTATAATATATTGCCTGATGACATTAAACAATTAAAACTGATTCACATGTGTATGTGCCAAGAAAAATCTTTTCTGCTGCATTATTACTGTTTCTATACAATCAGAGACTATAGCAAGCATCAAAAAGGAAAGTAATATTTAATTTTAACAATGATATTTATTGCATTAATTACTATTTGGACTGCATACTTCTAAACAACCTGTAACAAGTAGTGTATCTCAGCTTCTAGGTCAATGACCCCCATCTCGATCAGGTTTTTCTTTCAGTTTCCCTGATATTTTGAGTGAATGCTGAAATGTTCAGTTGTTTTGCTTCTGAACATAAATGTAGCTTTGCCCTTTGTGCAGTTTGTCTTGAGCTCTTTCAAGAATGTAGATATTCAAATAATAGTTTTCCATCTTTCATGGCAGCAAATCGATTCCTTCACATACAGCACTAGGAATAACAGTCTAAACCTAGCTGATTTGAACTTCCCTGATTTCTTTTAAAGACTAAGATTAAAAAACCAAAACAAAAACGCATAAGGGGGAACCGCTACACCCACGCCGTAAATAGGGCATTACTTGGCGCGCAGATATGCACGGGCAAACTGCATTTTTCTTTGCAAAAAGGCTAAAGTTCCGCGTTCATCTTAGAAACAATTCTACTTTCAGGCTGCGGAATTTGGTAAGAATTCCGCTGAACACGGGGAAGAGGGAGTACCCCACAGTTCGCTATCAATTGTCGACGCATAATCTACAATGACAGTTTCTTAAAAAGCATGCGCATCTCTGATGCGAGTATTATCTAGGAGGCTATCCGGGACGAGCCGTCTTGGTGTCTGACGCTTCGGCCAACGAACATACTGTGGCCTTCCTCAGAGAGTCAGTACGCTCTGAGGAAGGCCACAACGATGGTGAAAATGTCAGCCACCACGATGGACGCGGCTCGTCCCGGATAGCCTACACAATACACTCTCCAGCTGCGGAAGTCCACGCAATCATCGGTGCAAGTGCGTCCTTGCCAGTGCCACCCGTTGTTGAATCAGGGATAGGCAGTTAGGCGAGAGTGGGGGACCGTAGGTTTCAATGTACTGGCGAAGCCTGTAGATCAATTTATCTTTTAATTTTTTTTTACTGAACTGGTAAACATCACTTAGAACTTTAACGTTGATGACTACTTGCACTTCGTCTCCTACTTTTATGGAGATCACTTGACTGACATCCATATCTTGGGCTTGGCACTGCACCGCAGATCACTGCTTTTTTTATTGCCTTGTTCTAATTAATAGCCGCAAGCTCCAAAATCGAAGTTAGTTAAATATGTTGTGATAAAGATTTAATTGTTTCATTGAACATCCATTCGCGCATCCATCCCGCACCTAGCAGGCACAGCGGCAGATTATATTATAATGATATGGATTTTTTTTCGTAAGAATTTGTCCTTCACAATTCTTTAATTATTGTCATGTACATTTTTTGGAAAACATTAGTATTTTCACGCAATTCTAGACGCAATATGAGCATTATTAAAAAATAATAAAACCAAGATTATCTCAAACCCGCCTCTTTTTCCTGTTGTTGTTGTTGTTGTAGTAGAAGTAGTGCTAAATGCTCTGTAAAATGACAAACGCCATTTTAAGTATTCTTTTGAAACATGTCTCGCGTTGTTAAGATTTTCATTACGAGTGTTCTTTGCTTTATAGTGCGTTTGGGAGTTCAAGTGCTTCAAAATGATTTTCTTACTATGTTGCTCGAAAACAAAACTTTTCTTGTAAAATGAGATCAAAAGTGTGCAATTTTGGAAACGATAAACATTTTTAATGAATTGCTTCGAAGTTTTCAATTAAAATTGCATATAGAACCATGTTTTAATCTTCTCAATATTCTCTAAATCATATTTGAATTTTACAATTGGGGATCAGAAAAACCTGAAAAACATTTGTAGAATATTGGCCGATAGGAAGCAGCTGGGAAGGTGGATGAATAGTGAATACCGAAAACTTAGTCTGGACTAGAGATTAGAAAAAGTCTGTGCCATTGTGTAGAACAACTCGTTTCCTCTGTCTCTGATTAGGGCGGACGTCGGTGTTTCATCTTTTAGTACTTTTATTATCAGAATCTTTCTGAACTCGTGCTGATAGTTGTGTTTCATCGGTTGTAAAAAGAAGAAAAAAGCGGGAGTCGCACCTGGAGCAGCTCCGCGATGGCGTGGAGGCCGCCCAGCTCGCACATGGCGTGGCGGTGCTCCTCGTCGAAGGAGAGCTTCATGAGCGCGGCCACCGTCGGCACCGGGTGCTGCTGCTGCTGCTCCTCCGCCCCCGGCCCCGGGTCGTCGCTCTCGTCGCAGCCGTTGGCGCCCCGCTCCTCCCCCTCGGCCGCCTCCTCCTCCTCCTGCTGCTCCTCGTCGCCGTCCGCCGCCGCGTCGTCGGAGGGTGGTGGCCGCCGAGCCGGGGCGCTGCGGCGCGCGCGCGGGGGCGGGGCTGGCGCCGGCGCCGGCGCGCCGAGGCAGGCGCGGCTGGCGCCCAACTTGTTCGCAGTACTCCGGCCTGCCGCCAGCAGCTGAGCACGCGGGCTCGCCGGCCCGCGCGCGCTTGTCGTCCGGTGCGGTTTGCTCGGCCCGGCGGGGGGCCGGCGCCCCCGCGCCCGCGCCCCGCCGCCCGCGCCGGGCCCCGCCCCGGAGCCGGCCGGCCGCTCCGCCCCGCCCGCGGCCGCCGCAGCCGCCGCCGACGCCGCCGCGTGCACCACGTTGTGCAGGGCCTGCGCCGCGCGCCGCCGCGTCTCCGGCGACTGCTCCCCGCCGTGCAGCAGCTGCACCAGCAGCGGCAGGCAGCCTACGCGCAACCAGCGGCGCCGCGTTCACACTTCGATTTGAACGCAGTGGCTCTGCAAGGCCACGAGCTGGGAGGCTGTCATCCAATAAGGAGCATCGCTACGACTTACATTTTTGACTTAGGAGCTCCTGAGTGGATGGCAATGTCCCTGTCTCCTTCCAGCTTGTGGCCTTGTTTAAGTCGAAGTATACCTGGTGCCCTCGGATACAGGATGCCCCCAAAATAATTTTTTCTTTTGTCTAACTGAGCACACTTTAAAGGCTGCTTCTGAAAGCGATTTGTTTATTACCATAAACCGACTGGTGTAAAGTTTGAATTACGTATTTTATTATGAGAACGCCTATATCTTTTCCAAATTTTTTACATCCCGGGGCCCAATTATTTATTACTTTATTTCAAGTTTCGGGAGACCTTATTCTGGGTTTTATTATAAGTGATTTGAAACTTTCATTAGAGATTAGTTTTCAGCACGCTTTAGTCGGACAAATGAACGGGGCCTCGGAAGTGCTGGTAACGCCTCTTACATTCCGTTCCTCAAATACCCACATCGGGACACGCGGTATAATTTCCATTGTTGATGTAGAAATATTACTACAGGAAGGGTCAGCTCTAACAGTTCCTCCTTCGCCATTGCTGGCAACATAATTGTAGGTATGTCATGCAATCGTTCACGACAAAAAAAAAAAAACAAACAACGTTGGAGTATACCAGATCCATGATACTGTAACAAGGAAGCTTGTTACAGTGTCATGGATCTGGTATACTTAAACGGTTCTTTTTTTCGGTGTTTTTTTCCAATGTTTTTCGTTTACAATTTGCTCGTTTATAAATGGCTTCGTAACTATCTAATGTCTTCTCCTGCATGACATTCATTTGTTTCCTGACCAGTCGAACTGGTCCCTTTTTAGAGAAGCTCCTTCACACGACAATTTAATACATACACTTTTAATATAATTTCGCATTGCCGCAAAATAAAAATGGAAATTATCATTTAAGTACTGAATATAGGTTTAAAAATAACAGCCAGCATGCTTTACGATCACAAACGTGCGAAAGTTTCGCACGGGTTCAGCTACCGTGCATGATGAGCGCTGCCTTACCGGACTTGCGCATGGCGAGGCAGGCGTCGGGCGAGGCGCTCATGGCGAGCAGCGTGCGGCTCATGTCCTCGCGGTCGTGCGCGCCCAGCATGGACAGCAGCCCGTACACCATCTCCACCTTGGCGCCCAGCTGCTGCTGGCCCGCGGCGCGCCGCGCGCCCGCGTCCCCCGGCGACGGCGACAGCGACGGCGGCGGAGGCAGGTCCCCCTCGCCGCTCAGCGGGCCCGCGCCCGACGAGAAGCTCATCACGCTCGCCAGCTCCTGAGCACGCCACGCCACGCCACGCCACGCTCAGCCCCGCCCACTCGGCGCTGCGCTATTTTTCGGTCTCGGTCTCTCTCTCGCTCCCTTTCGCTCTCTCTCTCTCCCGCTCCCTTTCGCTCTCTCTCTCCCCCGCTCCCTTTCGCTCTCTCTCTCCCCCGCTCCCTTTCGCTCTCTCTCCCGCTCTCTTTCGCTCTCTCTCTCCCGCTCCCTTTCGCTCTCTCTCTCCCGCTCCCTTTCGCTCTCTCTCTCCCGCTCCCTTTCGCTCTCTCTCTCTCTCGCTCCCTTTCGCTCTCTCTCGCTCCCTTTCGCGCTCTCTCGCTCCCTTTCGCGCTCTCTCTCTCGCTCCCTTTCGCGCTCTCTCTCTCGCTCCCTTTCGCTCTCTCTTTTTGTCGTCGTCGTGTGTGTGCGTGCGCGCGCGTGTGTGTGTGTTCACAATTATATTATTTTGGTAACAAATCGTACATAAAATGGCATCGCAGGGTACAAAATATTACGTATTTGCCGTTAACGGCACAATAATTGCGTCATCACACATACAGCCCATCGCAGCGAGAAGATCGTGGGGAGGTAGCGGTAAACCGAACAGCCTACCACCGTTTTTTTCGCACAGGTGCCAAATGCCTTTGTGCACTAAATACCTCTCCAACCCTACGGGGTTTTCGCCATTGTGATTTTTCCAGAACAGATAGGATTTTAACTCTACAGAACCCATAGGTTTCCTTATTACAATATGTCTGCAACTGATCACGTCGTCCCTGTGCCAACGCTACTGGGGTTCTATATCGTAACCTGTCTAGAATGAACGAATTTTCCCCCTACGCTACCTGTAATTATCGTGGCAGAATTATCCCTGTGCAAAAACTAATATTGGTGTGATGTGGTTTTCCCTTTTAGGCAACGCCCTATCATTTCCCGACCAAACTTCTGCTATAGCTGAGCGTAAACGGCAACATTATTCCCCTTCTATATCAATGTACCATTGCGATTCCTTCAACATTGGCGGGCGCGTACCTGGTTGCAGGTGGGCGGGCCGCTGTGCCAGAGGGCGCGCTCCAGGGGCCACGTGCCGTGGTAGAGGCCCGCCAGCGAGCCCTTGGCGTGGGCGCTGCCCGGCGTCGCCACCCGCTCATCCTCCTCCGGTTTGCCCTGGCTCTGCAACAAGCGACAGCGCCCCCCTTCAGCACATACTCTCAATCATTCTGTGGTGTTTCCGGGAGCGTCATCTGCCATGATTATTAGTTCCGCGAGTGTACAGCAAACTTATGTCACGGTTCGGGAATATTTAATGACATATACAGTACTGAGTCTATAAGTTGTTTAATACTCGCATATTAACGAATGTACGCATAAGCTAAGAAAACTCACTAAAGTAGACACTATATTATTCTCGATAAGTTTTACAAGTCGACCAATTTGTACACAACATTTTCGATATTTCGTTAGTTTTTATTGCAGCTGTTGTGAAATGTAAAATATCAATAAAAAACTATCGAACAGTAATCGAGTAATCAGCGTCCGTCAGTCCATCCCTTAGAGGTTAGAGCCCTTCGGGTCCATCAATCGAGATGACTCAAGTGTCATTCGACGCATCTGGCTCTCGTCGTGGAGAAGTGACCACTTTTTTCTTTCTCGTATACGCACGTGCTGGTGTTCGACAAAATAATAGGAATCTCTGACAAATACAAAATATTTATGTATTAATAAGGCGTTGGGCAGCTTTTAGAACAACTGCAATTATCGCGGAATAGATTTATAGAGCGTCTGAATAGTTTCCAACCGAAAGTTCTCCTATTCTTGTACCAAACCTTGTACATTACCGGCGATTTGTATGCACTAGTGCATTTCTGATTTCATGAGCTTCAAACGATGCGATGCCAACATGCATTGAGAAAGTACTCCTTTTGCACAGACAATGCCATTAAATGGACATTCACAAAGCCTGAGGGTTAATGAGTTTACATAAAAACAAGCATTTGCATGGAAATCTCGTTTCTAATGACCACATTCCTCGCAAGATTATATTAAGGCTTTTAGCTATAATAGTTTTATAAAATGTATTATAATTTTTTCTGATATGATAAGGAATAGAATTAGACATTCCGCAGCCTGTAAGAGCTGTAGTTGAGTCAATTGTATGTCAATGCCGGAATAAATATATTTAGTAGTAAGTTGTTAACACGTTGTGGAAGATATGGCCGAATCAGTAAAGGTAACCAAAGCCATTTTGTGATTACTCTCTTATAATCGCTCATGAGATTCAAGTTTCTATTATCATCCACAGTAAACAGAAACGAGATTCGACACGAGAGCTTGGTGAAAAGAACGCAGATATTCCTTAAGGACAATCCAAAAAAAATTGTGATATCATTGATTGGTTGATTAGTGAGCCGGGCGCGACATCTCATGAGACCACTAGTACAGCGCATGATTTTGCTCGGACGTTGGCAGTGATATTCCTCCGCTCGATGGTGAGATCCGGAGCCGACCTGCCGTCGGCCAGCGAGGTTTTCTTCAACTAGGTATCTCCCACCAGCGCGGCAACGCCACAGTGGGGACAAGCTCGTAGCGCCCGGCCAGTCTCCCGGCATGTGTGGTAGTATAGAACATATATGTAAGCGTATGCGCTGTCCGTGGCCCGATTGTTAAGATACTGCTTCTGCATTTCTCTGGTGTAGATCGGAGGAACCACAAACAATCTACCGATCACAGTAGTCGGCCCCTAGAATTCTCCTCCAGACTCCCGACCAAGCTATCTAGCTAGTGTCAAAAATCCAGCCATAGTCGGGACTCGAACCTAGGGCCATCCGGTCAGAGGCAGTGCAGTGACATCTGTTGATGCCCTGAGCCACCTCCCGCGGTGAGATAGAGCAAGACTTTAACTTCCCTTACGTGTATTAGTCTCCTTGCAGAACTGCATCCAACACAATTATAGATCGTTTCAGAATAATTGTTACAAAATTCTAGGCACATAGAGGGGCCGAAAATTACATTTTGCCAATTAATATTTAGAGTAAAAATTAATATAACGTAGTTACACATGTGACATTGTCCCTGACTTTTAGGCAACTACTTATGCACCAATATCCGACGGGTCACATTCTGACGCTGTTAAGGCGATGTCTTGTACCCCCCGAATATTTACCCACACAGTGTCCTAAAAATCACGTGAAAATGTTACATGCATGAATTCACATAACTATTTTATAAGCAAATTCCCACTATAAGTGAAATGTCGAAAAGTGATAACGAGAGAACGGATTTTCATGTAAATACACATTTTTACAGAAACACGGAACCTGTATTTAATAATAATGCTTGGTGTTTAGAAGACATCCTCAATTAATAAGAACTATTTTTATAGTTCATGTTTTTACATTTTTGCACAATTACATTTTTTACATATTTCACTACATTTTAATACATTTATACGTAGGACCGGAACATTTCATACGACAGTTTACAATGTGTGTTATTCGTATATATTTCTTCAATGCAATGCTTCCGCGCTTCTATGACAATAAAATCTTTGCAATGCATTGTCAAATTTACCCTCCCCTCCTCTTCCTAGAAACTGCGAACTCACAATCAAAGATGAGCGAATGTAAGGCATAAGTAATTTCAATCAAGTACTCTAATTTTTTATTGAGGCCTTACATAACTCCATCGAAAACTATCAAATACGTTTTACAGACAATTATGTTAACACGTTGTAGAATTTGGGCGGGGGATCCATCACTGGCTGTTACTAAGACAATTACTTCTGTAAATGAGAATTTCTTTCAGACGTTCTGAATGAAAGTTAAGATCCGATCGAGTACATTATGTGCCCGTAAAAGGGTTGTATAGAACAACTTCAAACTCTATAAATGAATTTTTATTTTACGTATTTTCTATTTTTTCTTAAATGTTTTGGAAAACATAAGAACATGTTCAGTTTTTTATTACAATAAATTCCGTCTCATATTGATTTCATAAAACCTCTCTACGTGTCATAGAAGTTTATAACATCTATTCTGAATCACCTGTATAGAGAATGGCAACGTAGGCTTTCGCGGCCCGAGTCAGTAGCTACTTGGCTGTCCGGATGACGCCTCGTCCTAGGTACAGGCGTCTACCTTTCAACCGCCGTTCTGCGACCTTCCTCAGGGCGAAAAGCGCCGAGATAGCACGAGTTAAGGTTCCCATTCAGCTAACGGGCGGAGAGGAACCTAACCCTACATACCTCGTGCGCTAACTATCTCCGCGCATTTCGCCCTGAGGAAGGTCGCAGAACGGCGGCCGAAACGTTGGCACCTCCTGGACAGCCAAGCAGCTACCTGTTTAGACTCGTTTGCTGACTGCACGCCATCGAGTGTTCCCGCCCGCAACTGGAAAGTGCTCGCCGTGCACGTACCTCCGCCGACTTGCGTCCGTCATCCTCCTCCTTGGGCTCGTCGGCGCGCTCCTTGTCGAGGCGCAGCGCGGCGCCGTCCAGCGCCAGCCCCAGGCGCGCCAGGAAGCCCGCCACCGAGTACTCCTCGCCTCCGGCCACGCCGCCCGCGCCGCCCACGCCCGCGCCGTTCTGCAACTGAGCGGAGGCGCAGCGCCCGTCACTCACTACTCGACTCTGCCTGCGCCAGCGACGCCACGCCCTTAGCAATACATCACTGTTTTACATCGAATATATCCATATTTCTCTCTCTCTCTCTATACATATATCTATCTATATCTATCATATATATAAATTGATGTTTTTAACTTGGTTTAGTAACCTCTGATAATTAAAAATTTGTTCAAAGAATTGGTTGGCCTGACCGGGATTCGGCAACCAATTTTTGAACAATTAATTATTACGAATGCCGGTCGGTGCAAACAATTCTTTGAACAAATTTAATTATTCAAATGTATTGTTACTCAGTAACATAATTTGGATTTCTCTACGATTGCTGAACATATTCTCCGAGCGTAATTGCGTCCAAGAAGGCGACGATTATACATATAACCTCTGACATTACATTCGCGAGCAACGAAATTTAATTTGAGTGTGCATTTGTTTATTGATATATTATCAAGATTTAACCGAAAACAAATTACAAAAATGTCGATAACGCGCAAGATAACCTGAAAGGCTAAGCGCCTAGAGCAGGGGTTCCTAAAGGTGTCATTGACCCCCGTGAAAATTCCCTCGTCCAGGGGATCGATGTAATTTGGATGGGGGTCAATGATGATCGAGGAGGCGAGTGGGGGTCTGTAGCCGAATATGTGCCGGCGATAGATTGTTTACTAAAGATCTCGCTTTTTTTAATCAAGATTAAAAGAGTACCTTGATAATTGCTTCATTTATTTATTTACGTCAAAAACAGTTAAAACCTGTGTACAACGTGCTATGGTCATGAACATCCAGATTCTCGGCAAATCAGAGCGTGCCTCATCGTTTTGCTTTTGTGCAGCTCCGGCGAGCGACGTCACGTTACAGACGACGGCGCCAACTCCTACGCGCTAATGGACAGTAGTAGGAAATCGCGAAAGTGCAAGGCTCTTTGCCGACCGCGGTCGTGCATTTAACTAAAGAGGTCAACGAACGACGAACGACTCGTTATTTGAGCGGTGGTTTAACAGTCTTGCTTTGCTCCGGGAGTTTTGCTGGCCGTCAGATGAACTCGCAGAATAGTAACGCAGTCTCTGGAAGATCCGAAGACTTCTACCGGATTTCCTCAAATTCACATCACACAAGACTGCAGCAAACGAGTGAAGTTGTTTAATGAACAACTTGTGAGTAGGACGTCAGACAAAACCAAAAATATTTTTATCAGAAAACCAAGCATATCTATATTTATCAAACGAACACAGTTCTGCGAGTTTGAAGAACTAATATACTTAATAAATAGTACAATTTTTTGTCTACAAAAAACAAACAAAAACGATTCTTCAATACATTGTTCGATTTCAGATATTTCAAATTAGTTTCGTAATAAATTAATAATACATGAAGGAAAAACGGTGCCATTTATGATTTGCATTTCAAATACGCACAATGCACCAATCAAAATTAACTAATTTCAACTGGTTTAGTTAAGGTAACAACCTTTCTGGTCCTTTCCATTCGATCAATCCTCGTCTGGAATATCCTTTTAAATGAATTAAATACTAAATTAAGTTCATTATATTATTCAAATTCAGTATTCTTTCAAACTTAGTCAGCCTTCATACCGCTCGTCGATGTATTTTGGGAACCTGAGGTATAGCATAATATTTTGGAGAAATATATTCTATAGTACCAAAAACTTAAGGCTGGAGAACAAAAATCGTACGAATAATAAGCAAGTGCTATTCTCCAAGCCTTTCCACTGAGTTTGGAATCCTAACACTGCCTTGCCTATTTACGTACTTATTTATCAAAACTGACTTATCTAAGAGTGGGCACATATGTTCATACAATGCATATTTATAATATTACAACACACATCGTAAGAATTATTCATGTGGTGTCAGTATCAACTCACAAGAAACTACTTACTATACTTTTACATTATTTTACAACACATTACCATATGGCATTAAACAAATACAATAAATACACAAGTGTAAGTAAAAGCTTTTCTGCAGTATAACTGTTTCTATACAATTAGTTACTATATTGGCCATCAGAAAGAAAAGTAATATTTATATTAAGAATAATATGTAATATAAATATATTAATATTGCATGAGTTAACATTTTTAATGAATTTTGAAAGACAAAATAAGTAAGTAGTAATGTACTTTAGCTCCTGAGCAATCCTCCCCATCTCGATAAAGGTTATGTCCAGTTTTCCTAACCCCCTGAGCAAAATTAAGAAGGTCTCTTGTTTTGTTCTGGGCGTAGATGTAACTTCAAAATGCGCAAATTTTGTTACGCTGCCCTTTTGCTAGTTGTGGTAGGAGTAGAACCGGTGTGTGTTAGCAATGTCAGCAATGCAAATAATTCAAATATCTAGTTCGTTTACCAATGAAAATTAGTTTTCTATAGCTAGGGACCGAAAATGTCGTTTTCAAATGTTGCCAACCTCGCTTTGTTGATAGTTTTATTTTTCAGTTAAATACGTACAGTAAAAAGTAGAAAACGGATTCTGGAGATCAAGAACACGGGCACAGACAATACTGTTCCCCGTACATCACACAGTTCTCTTTATGTATTTTTAATCTCCTTTCCCCCCTCTCAATTCCCTTCCCTCACAATAAATCCAATCAAATCGAATGATTAGCCATTTATATTGTGAATAATTTGGCAAGTGTATACGTACGAGTAATAAATTACACAAAAGAATACTCAAGTATGATAAAAGACAATCGAGGAATTGATATTAGCACCGCGCGCACACACGAACTACCATCTGCCCACTAACGACTCCCACCGCCGTACTTTTGCCGTCTGCCATATTACCACGAACATTAATCAACACTCTCCCTTTGAGGGGCCGCATCCATCAAAATTTACGATCAAATGCGCGCGGACGATATTCGCCAACTTAGGAGGCGCGGAAGCGTTCGGAAGGCGAAGGCGAGGGAGGCGCCGTCGGGGCGCTTTTGTGCACGCGCGCCGCGCCGCTTCCAGGGCGGGGGCGGGGACGAGACGAGACGGGGCGGTGACGGAATGGATGGGCGCTGGCTCCGGGCCAGACACGGTTTCCTCTACTGCCCTACCCAGCGCAAGGAAGCACCCCCTGAGCGCGCCCGTCACGAATTCAATCTCCTATTCTTCTAGGTTGCGTCATCGATGGTTAGGCATCAGAGCCAAGGATCAAGTCAGGGCCCAATGACACGTTTCATTCATGATTTAGGTACTTAGAACGATTTAATGCTTAAATGGTTAATTTTTGCAGATATCAAGATATATAATAGTTTACTATGTAACTATCATAAGTTTTATTGCACAATGCACGATTGAAAGCAAGCGATGTTAGGAGCTAGTTTTCCAATTTGTACGAATGCTATAAAGCAACAAACGAGTTGCATACTCTTCTTCTTGTACACTCTCGAGAAGACCCAACAGAGATGACCCCAAGTCTCTAGTATTTTCAACATCTATCCACGCGCCACCGAAAAAAAAGAACAGTTGCAGAATACCAGATCCATGATACTGTATCAAGTTCCCTTGTTACAGTGGATCTGGTATATTGCAACTGTTCTTTTTTAGGTCCGTAGGTCGCACATGAAAAGGCTTTCCTGAACTTTGTTTTCGCTTAAATCTTGATTATAAATTAATCAACTACCACCACTGTCAAATTAAATGTTGCTGCTAGAGGTTAAAAGCTTTGAAATATCGATGTCTAAAAACATCTGCGATGTTTGGACCATGTGCCTGTTTTAATTTCGAACATCAATGTCCCGAAACACTTAATATCGATGAGGCATCACTACGTCAAACCCTTCGGTGGCGCTGCTGAGGAAAAAAGAGGAGCGCCGCCGCGGCCGCCAGGCAAGCGAAGAATCACTTGGCAGCCGTCGCGTCGCAGGAGGGAGGGGCGTAATTAAAGGCGAGGGCGTGTGCGCGCAGCCATTGGCCACGCTGCCTGGGCGCCGCAATTGCAGCAGTGCGCGCTGGAGGAGAGCGCTCGACATCGCGTCGCGTCGCGTCGCGTCGCGTCGCGTCGCCATCGCATCGCATCGCATCGCCATCGCATCGCCATCGCATCCCATCGCATCGCATCCCATCCCAAAACCATCACATCGCATCGCCACCGCATCCCATCCCAATCACAACGCATCGCATCGCCATTCCAAAACTATCACATCGCATCCCATCCCCATCACCATCACATCGCATCCCCATCACCATCACATCGCATCCCATCCCCATCACCATCACATCGCATCCCATCCCCATCACCATCACATCGCATCCCCATCACCATCACATCGCATCCCCATCACCATCACATCGCATCCCATCACCATCACATCGCATCCCATCACCATCACATCGCATCCCATCACCATCACATCCCATCACCATCACATCGCATCCCATCACCATCACATCGCATCCCATCACATCGCATCCCATCACCATCGCATCGCATCCCATCACATTGCAATCACATCGCATCCCATCGCCATACCGTCGCATCCCATCGCCATACCATCGCATCCCATCGCCATACCATCGCATCCCATCGCCATACCATCGCATCGCATCGCATCGCATCGCATCGACCGAAGATCGGCGCTGCCCCACCCCGCGCCCCCGCTCACCGAGGGGCTCCCGTGGAAACACAGGAAGGTCACTTCCTGCGTTCAGCCCATGAGTCATTTCTCGCTCAACGCCTTCGTGGCCTTTGTAAGCTTGGAATGAAAATACCAGCTTCCTTATACACAGCGGACAGCAAGTAGTAGAAACAAGAAATATTCAGATTATAACCAGAAAAATATTTTGAAGGATTTTGTTCTAGACAAATTGTCGCAAGCTTATTTCTGTTACAAGCTTCGTAGTGATGAGAGACAGATAAAATTTGTTGAAAATTATATAATCATAAATTGTGTGCTACCAAAGCAGCAATTCTCTCTCAAATACTCTCTATAGTAAATCAATACAACAAAGATAGCTACATATTTAAAAGTTAAAAGTTATATTTAAAAGTTATCTTAAAAGTCCACGAGTCAACTTGAGACACAAGGTGGAAGCGACAGCGTTCATTAAGACAGGCTAAACCTACAAATATGTATCCATTAAAGGGATCAACTGATGTTCTCGAACGCGTTAACGGCTTACGTCAGTAGTCCCGTGAGTATAGTACATGTTTTTTTTATCATGGGAGGTGTCTGTGATCTTCCCCGCGGGATGGCTAGATCAGACGCCCATCTACACGTGGACTTTCGGTGATTTTCCTAACCAGGCATCTCCCACTAGCGTAGTACCGCCCCAGCCGACACAAGATCTAAGCTCCCGACTGGTCTCCCGATGTCTGTACTAATGTAGGGCATTAAAGTGAAAGTGTGTGTAAGTAAGAGGAGAGCATAGGACAAGGAAGGGGAAGAAGAAGGGCGTGGTCCGTGGCCCTTTTGTTAGGGTATTGATTGGGCTTTGGCCTGGGGATGAAAGGAGAATCCTTGGAAAAGAACCGGTCAAAGCAGCCGGCCGTTAGAATTCTCCAGACAGCGGCTGATTTCGACCTACCACTCTTAGCTCGAAAATCCTGTCACCGTCGGGGTCCGAACCCTACTACCTCACGGTCAGAGACGTCACTTAATGCTCTGAGCTACTTATGCCTATATTTATGCATTGAAGAATGCGAGAACACCTCGAACGTAATGAAGGAGAGAATTCGAAAGAAGTATTACAGAAGAACAAGACTAGTCCTACAGTTGGTTGTGAACTTGAGTACAAATTTACGCAATAGGTATCATCTGTATCTGAAGTTGAGTTCAGCTTCGAACTGGCGAATTGGACAGAGGAAGAAATAAAAGATAAGAAAGGAAAGAAAAGAAATGTTACAGCGTCCTACAATTTCTGTGAATTGTGGCATCACAGTCAGCGGTACGAACACTCACCGTAAACCTGCAACACCTGTTGGACTATGTACAAAATTGTACGACGGACCCATCCACACTTGTCGTACGATAAGTTTTACCCCGGAGAGGGGCGATGTTCCTCCTAGAGAGGCTGGGAGATCCGCTGCCAACACGAGTGTTGTCTTGCGGGGATTCCACCTCCAGGTATCGCCGCCAGTCGAGTCAAGCTAAGTTGCCGGATGGTTTTCCCCATATGTTGTAAAGTAGCGAATTTTGTGTGTGTGTGTGTGTGTGTGTGTGTGTGTGTAAGGAGAGAGGATAGGACAAGGACGAAAGAAAAAGGAAAGTTTACGCGCGGCCCAGAGGCCGTTTGTTACGGTTCTGCTCCGGCATTGACCTGTTATTAATCGGAGAAATCAGAGTTAACTACAGATCAGAGCAGCCGACCTCTAGAATTCTCGTCCAGATAGAGGCTGAGTTTGCAGAGACAACGGTAATTCTAACTCGGCTTGGCAGAAAGGATGGAAGAACAGGACATCGCATTATTGGAAACGGCCCATATTTTGAGCGAAGTATTGTAGAGAGACTCTTCGTCACTACATCTGCTATTTAGAAGTACAGTAATTTTATATTTAACCAACACCTAACATCTCGACACGTGAATACCCCCCCCCCCCAACCATCGTCATGCTGTTGTGCACGCGACAGGTTCCGGGCATCAATTAGAAGATTACAGAGATGGCAGGGATGAGTAAAGGTAACTGTCTTGAGACGTATGAGAATTGGGCTCGGCAAACCCACTGATGTATCGTAAATAGGTTTTTATTAAAATACTAACTTACCACAGCAAAAATGCTGCTGATCGAAGACCGTAAAAAATGGTACCCAAAAAGCATCATCTACACTTTTCAAGAAAACCAAATAAAATACTCTCGTATAAACAGCAAAACGTAAGTAATTTTAACAAAAAGCAACTTAACGCATACTCCAATATCGAATCATTAATATCCATAATGCAGCATGAGAATAGGGGGAATATCATAATAAAATGTTTACATCGTTCAGTGAAAATTTGAATCGTTTCGTTTTTGTTGCTTTTCTTAGAGTTTCTAAGTAGCAAATTATAAAACGAATCTGCAAACACCTAATCATGGCGGAGGCTGCATAGTATTCTTTCGATTTTTGAGCGCATTGGTAGTACAAGTACGAAGATGTTTAGAGTCAATTACGTGTAAACAGAAAACTTACAAATTTCAATAGATATACAAGCGTATTGATCTAAAAATTAAGAAAATCAATCGATTTAAATTCTCCCTGACGGCAAGGGTAACATAACCCGTCAAATTGGGAGAGAGTTGTCGGCTACTTTCGGGAACACGCGTTGCATCATGGACGTCTCTCTTTGTGGACGGAACCAACCAGGTCAACCGCCACATTTTTTATGAACCAGTCTGGCTTAATATGGGGAACCACGAAGTATTGATGTCACGGGCTGGCACTGCTAGAAGCCTCTGTTAAAAAAACATCGCGCGAATCGGTGGTTCTCGGAAGGACACTGCACGCCTTCAGTGCTCGCTACTGGGGTCAACCGCCCGACTGAGTACAGTGGGCGCTTAGAGATAGGCGACGAGACGGGACGGGACGAGACGGGACGAAACGGGACGGGACGAAACGAAACGGGACGAAACGAAACGGGACGAAACGAAACGGGACGAAACGTGACGGGACGAAACGAAACGAAACGGGACGACACGGGACGACACGGGACGAAACGGGACGAAACGGGACGAAACGGGACGAAACGGGACGAAACGGGACGAAACGGGAAGAAACGGGAAGAAACGGGAAGAAACGGGAAGAAACGGGAAGAAACGGGAAGAAACGGGAAGAAACGTGACGTGACGTAAACTTATGACAGTTTCTGTGATACGCTTCTCACAGTGTCTTGTATAGTGCGCGACGGCTTCAAAATTTAAGTAAAGAACAAACCGGGTTCATTTTTAAAAGCGAAGGGGACTCTGTGGGTGAGAGGCTAGCTTACTGGCCTCTGAACCCCCAGTGCGCGGGTTCCATCCCGGCCGAGGTGCCCGGATTTCCGAAGGGCGGAACATCCAGAGTAGCCATGACACACTTGTGGCATGTAAAAGAACCCAGGCTGCCCGGCAAAATTAAATCCCTCCGACAACATCTGCCCTAAGGAGATCTCACTTTCTCCCAACCAGGCAGTTCGGATATAGTTAACCGAGACCGACATCTGGCTAAGAAAGTGTGAGTCAAATTCAAGGTGCATTTATGGGACCGCCCACGAAGTGCGCCTGCTCGATAAAGTATCCAAGATACGCGTCGGGGGTAGGATTCCAAGGAAGCATGGGTCGAAAAATTCGGGAGTGGAACAATAGCGTAAGGGCAGTCTCTCCACAAATAGTCCCACACGATGGATAAATTAAAAGCGAAAGAAGAAAAAATAAGTTGAAACATGAATTCTCTTCTCTTGTAAAGTGAACGATGACAAAAGGGCAATAACGAATTATTATTATTATTATTATTATTATTATTATTATTATTATTACTAATTTCACGTTATATCCTGACTTACTGGAAGATTAAAAAGTATTTCAGTTCTTTACGATGTCTCATGATAAATTTGAAGTTAAAAGAAATATTTTGAAAAATATGATTGTATTACTTTATTTAGACGCTTACAAAAATAATCGGCTCTGATAAGATAATCCAGGCAAAACAGACACATACAAAAAAAATGTGATTAATGAACTAATGTTACATTACAAAATATGGCATTATTTATTCACCGTCACAAACGAAGCAAGTTTCGCTAATACTGCTCAGCTCCTTATACAAATCTAGTACTATAAATTTGACATATGTTACTCCTTGAATCAGATAGTTTAGCTAACCAATTAAATTACACTTCCTAAGAAGGTAATAAATTAAACAAAAGTTAATATCACGCTGTAAAACTCGGGATAATTCTAGATCAACATAATTAAATTGGACGCTTTCATGATCGCCCCCACACGCTTCACATAACACAACTGAAACTGCACAAGCACCGTTCCGGCCGTGTCGTTAACGCACGTCGGAAATCCAGATCTTTCCTTCGAACTTTATGCACCGGAAGGGGAAGATCGTCCTGTTTCGTTTCGTCTCGTTCCGTCTGTGACGTTCTAGTGCGCGTACCTTTCCAAAAATCAGTGTAATCGACTTTTTAAAATTCCCGTTCTTTAATGACGTACCGATCCAGTGCGTGCGTACCGCAAAAGTCCCAGGCCAAACACTCCTCGCGGTCATTCTCACCCTCTCATAATGATCGAGGATCAAGGAGACGCTACATGCGTCTTGGCAACCTTCATTCGAAACAACTATTACACTAAGATATAGCAAA